TCAAGGTCTCCGTCCTCACACACCAGTGTATCTATGGTACAGCCCCTCCATACCTCAAGGAACTCCTCACCCCCCTTACCTCCGTGCGGACCACCCGCTCCAGCAACTCAAACCTCCTCAAACCCTCGAGGACTAAGCTCCGTACCATGGGAGACCGGGCCTTCTGCTCGGCTGGCCCCAGTCTGTGGAACGCTCTCCCCGACCACATGAGAGCATCACAGACCGTGGAGGTTTTTAAAAAAGGCCTCAAAACCCACCTCTTCAATAGAGCCTTTCCCTAGACATTTTACTTACTTATTATCACCCTTTTATCTTATTTTATTCTTTTTACTTATTTATTTTTATTTATTGCTTTTTATTCTTTTTACGATGTTAGCACTTCGGGATTTGAATGCAAATATGAAGTGCTTTATAAATTAAAGCCATTATTATTATTATTATTATTATATAACGTACACACACAACACTTTGCAGCTTTGGCAATGCTGCTATCATTTGAACAGCCTCCCCAAGTTTTGCTCCCTCCAGCATCCCCCTTGGTCCTTGTGGTCAGTTACAGAATGTGACGTTAATCTTAGTGTCTCTTGTCAAAGTAAAAAACATGCATGCCCAACCATCTTCCTTAAAGGGGACCTATCATGCAAAATGCACTTTGTGATGTCTTTTATACATAAATATGTGTCCCCGGTGCGTCAGGGAACTCACGCAGCGTCAACAAATAAAACCCTTTCTCTTTTCCTCCGTACCCACATCTTTTAATAACGGGGGTACAACGAGCGGATACAGATTTGCTGCCGATATGACGTCATATCAGCAGCGGACCCACGGAAAGTTGCTATCAGAAACTATGCCTGACGTGTTTTGGACGTAATCTCGTCTTTGTTTACATTAGCAAGCCTCGCAAGCTAAGGACCCAAAATCCGCGTTTCTCTAACAGGGCTGCAAAAGAGGGGTGTGAGCAGTATGAGGCATGGCTACAATGGGTGATCTGTTTGGTATTTTAAGCAAAAAACTTCACATACATGTTTTGTATAGGTATGGCCCTTCAATATATTTTTCTAATATAGCATAATAGGTCCACTTTAATTTGAAATTTGAAATCAGGTGCGAATGGATATTATTCATAGGGGAGAAGGTTGGCAATCTTTTTATTTTTTATTAAAAAAGCTAAATAAGAAGGCATTACCCAATAAATCCCTTTTCCACCACATCAGACAGCATGACAAAACACCAGAACACACTGTAAAGGTGAGATTTAGTGGTATTTTTATTAAATGTTCCCATAGTAAAACCCTTTACAGTCCACCTAGAAATAGTCCACTCATGTCTCCTGGAACAGTAAATGCCTTGCATAAAGGCACCTCTATGATTATAGTTTCTGGGAAGGCGAGTGTTGTTTGAACCCCTCTCCCAATCATTTTCCTGTCACTCTGTGGGTTTGATGTGCAATGTACCACTGGGGTAAAAGGGCATCCTGACCTGAAACTCTGGTGAAAGCTAAAAAAGGTCACGAGTGTCATGCTAAGACAAGCACTCCTATATAAAAAAAGTAAAACGAGACAAAGAACTGCTTTAGAAAACACACAACACTCTTGTGGCACTCTACCGCTTGACACACACTGTCAGAGAGAAGAGTACATGATTGATCACATGTCATTTATTTTTCACTTATTTTATCCATTCTAGATAGCAGAGTTGAGCTAGAAAGCTATACAATGGAGAAGGTTCACTCTAACCTGAAATGCCAGGCAGGAACAAAAGCCAAAGCGAACACAGTTTAAGGGTTGGAAAAGCACCAGTGGATTCTTGACAGACAGAGCTCACCTGTTCTTAAAAGCCAGCAGGCTTCATTGACATTTGTCTGAGGTGCTAAGCAGAATCCCCGGGGGGCTTTGATACTGCTTCACTTTAGTGAGGCGGTTGTCAGACTGATATGGGGAAAAACAGACGGAGAGACAAGGGGGGGAGCTGTAGCGACAGAAGACGAGGGCAGGGCAGGGGTAAATGAAGGAAGGGCAGGGGATCAAAGAGAAGCAAGAGAGAGAGGGGAGCTTGGAGAGAGCAGTCTGAATTTTGATGAAAAGAGAAGAAAAGAGAGAGAATGAATGTATGATATTTAGAAGAAGAAACACTGATGGGAATTTGAACCAGTACAGGACAATTTAAGAGGGCATCTGAGGGTTTTGCTCGAAGACCAAATTCTTTCTACAGAATTTGCTGTCTAACTTAATGCCCCCCACTCATGTTTACTTGGTGATTTCTCTGGGAGAATGGGACTACAGGCATCTTATTTCCCTTCCGCTCTAAATGTCAAAGTAAAGATGGTCTAAAAGAGCTCCTCATTTCTGCTTCTATGCCTGGCTCTCTTTAATGCTATCCCTCTCCTCTCCTCCTTTTTTTAATATGCCAATGAACTTGCTGGTTCTCTTTGTGTTTTTTATACTGGAGATTGGTATTTCTCAAGTCAGTCACCTTTTAGAACATTTCATAAAGAAGGTGAGATACACAGTCCCCGTACTACGGTCAAAATATCAAAACTTTGCAAAGAAATGCTGGAATGTAGTGTGTTCGTATAAGTTGGTTACACATTATTTTTACATTGCATTTGAAGCACTATCCCATAATACATCCCGTGAGATTGATAAATGAAAGTTTATTATTAACTCTCTAAGAGAGAAACATAATCCATGCATTTCAATACGTTGGCTTTGAAGTTTAAAACTCAACAGATTTGAGTCATTTGACATTTAAGCATACATAACTCAGTGTTGAGCTTGTTTTTTTAATTAAAAAACCTCAGATAATTTGTTGATTGATTATTTTGGATCTCATGTTACTCTTACCATGGTCTACATTTGAATCTTTAGCTAACCATGCTTACTAACTCATTTATTCACAGTACCCATGGACATAACCAGAACAGACTCCCAAAGCATAATTTAACAGCTTAGATTGATTGTTCTTGTGTACTTATTGCAGTGTGAACAGAGTTCTAAATGTACCCATGGACAACTATTAACCAAGGGTAAATGCTAATCCTTAAATGAGAATGTAGAAAATGTAAATGGCTTTTCAGAATGTGTCTTTTACTACCCCATAATCGTAAAATACTGTAGTAAATATCTCATTTATCCAGCCATACAACAGCCTTGCAATTACATTCAAAATGCACAAACTGTCATAAAGTAATCTGTTTCATTTGTTCTTCTAATCTATTTGTCATTTTTTTTTTGTATAAGGGGCCAGGCAAAGATGTCACAAAAGGGTTAGTCAAGTCATTTTTTTTTTAAACGGAAGAAGACCTTGATCTTTGACTGTTTTCTTATCCGGTAAAAAATATATTCTAACATTGTAAGCAGTTAAAAAATATGCTCCTTGTTATACTGAAACTGACTGAACGAGTAGAGTAGGCTCCGAGCAATGGAGCCATAGCTTTATAGATAAGGTCAGTGTTTTTAATTGTGCTTCTTCAATTGAGTTTTAGTGTTGGCTGGAAGGCAAAGAAAGATGAGGAATGCTGTGACATTGAGTAACAGGGACTCCTGTTGGATGTTCCTCCTTATATCCGTCCTCCGCTGTGCTAAATATGTGTTGAAGGTGAAACAAAGACCATGCACCATAGACATGCTGCTCCAGAGGCCTGTTTACTGCTTACTGTGTTCTCAAATGGGACAGCTGATTACAACAGTGCCTTGTTTGATCTCCTGCTGCTGTTTGTGTTCATGTGTGTATGAATCCAACCCCACACCACCACAACAGTGCCACAGCTGTGAATAGAGAGTCCCATCAGTTTGGAGGCTTTTAACGAACTCAGGACTTAAAAGATGACTAACTGTATCATTAGTCATTTTCGGAGAGATTCCCCCCTTCTTTCTGACAAACAGCCAGGAGGTCTGCTGTGCTTAACATTAAAAAGCTTTGTTAATTAGAAAGGTGTTTGATATGCAGCTCTCCAACCGAGAGACAAACACATTCTAAAATATGAGGACGATCACACAGCTGTGATGGGCTTTAATGAATAATCAAAGCTCTTGACAAAGAAGTCTTCTTTTGAGTTGATAATGATGGTGGGATGCAGAATAAGAAGATGGACTTGTTCGTTTCGGCTCCTTTCATCTGTGAATGCATTAGTGTGTGTCTGCACAAGCAGGCATTTATGTGCTTTTATTTTGTCGGTTTGTGTGCTTTGTTGTCAGTTTCATATCATTATCAAACTATAGGCAATGTGTTTAAACTATTATTTTTGTTATATTTGTTCAAAATCTTTTGGCATCCAACATAAATACAATAGATATGTTGGTTTTTTACATTCATAGTGATATGTTTACATTCATAATGATAATTAATGTTCATTTTAGAGGATTTGGTGTTGGAGGGAGGCCTGAAGGGACAGGCTGTTGGTGTTGGCAGCTATCTTGCTAGACTTAGAGATTTTCAAAGCTATTACTGTTAGCTTCTTTTATTAGAAAACAGTTAGGCTGTGGTTTTTGGTTGGATAATTAAAAAAATCTATCTTTCTCTTGATGGTTTCTCCAATGTTGCCTTCCCGATCTTTAAAAGAGACTTATTATAGAAATGAGTGTTCATTAAAATGGAGCCCTTATGGTGGAGCAGTTGCTCTCTATCTGACCTTTTGTTGCCCCCATCTGTGTCTCACCTCCTGTAGAAATATATTTTCTGTATTTTAAGCTACTGTGTGTGGGTGATTCACAAAACTTAACCATAGGTGATTTAAAAATAAAAAAATCAGATTGGATAATAAAGTATATTATCATGGATTGGGATAGAAAACACTCACAATAATTTCCATTATTAGAATAACCCCCTCATGAGTGACGATTACTGTATAATTGTCACACATGTTCCACATCCATACAAGTTATTGTCTGGACCATGTTTGCACCATATTTTTAGCAGCAACATTTTGGGGAAACAATTCAGAAGAAGCTGATATATTGAGTTTACTGTGAAATGTATCATCGACCATCAGTAACGACCAACGGCGAGAACAGGATCCCCCTGGCTGCCTGTGGAGAGCAGTGCAGACAGACCAATGATCAGGTTTTCACACACTCATTTTCACATTTCATCTCTTTATTTCTCCCCCCTCACCCAGGGAGCCCTGCCGTCCGACAAGCCTGCTGCCTGCTGACTGGAGCTCTGGGCTGGGTTTGGGAAGGGAAGATGAGCCATTACCTCCAGGTCTGGAGACCCTTCCTCTCCGACTGATGCAGCAGGACTGCACTTCTGTCAAAACCCTGCTTTTGAGACTGAGACGGACACTGCAGGAGGTGGGATATGAACACGCACACCTAGACACAAGCTTACAGACCCTTTGTAAAGTGGCTTTATACTTGGATTAAGACATTGACTGTCACAAAGAACAAAAATCCCTAGAATAGAAGCTGAAATTCATTATAATCCCTCTTGAACCACATTAAAATACCTCTTTTGATCAATTTATATACGTATTAAATTGTTTTAGAACCAGCAAGGGTGAGGGGTTAGCAAATAATGAGGCAATTGGCATTTCGAACTAAAACATTTCACTGGTAAATTCCATCCTCCCTGTTTAATACGCTCTATTTCAGCTCCATGAAATCATCTCTAAGTGGATGCCTTTCCGCCTTTGTCCCTGTAATCACTTTGTTAAATTAAGCAGATTGGACATTTGGAGGAGAAAACTTAAAGGCTGACAGTCTTTGAGGGTTTGCCATCATGTTCTTTATATTCACACACGTAAACACGTGCACACACATACTCAACACATAAGTCCTCCTATTTCTTTGGATAATAGTGTCAGCTAAATGCTATGTAATGTAATTCCAGAGTATCCCTCTGCTCTTTAAATGCTTTGGTCTGCTTATAGCTAAAGTTCTACCTCAAGCTATCAGGCCATCTCATTTACGAATGTCGCGTGAAACCAGGGAAATTACACTTTACCATTATTGATGTGATTAGCTGTAATGGTCACTTAGTAAAGCACTGACACGTTGCAATAGCTGCACAAAGTTTAACTGTAAAAGCCAGGGAGATATATTGATGGCCCTGTGCAGTCATGCAATCTTTCTACTGTGGGAGTTATTTAAAACAGAAAGGAAATGGAAAAGAATAATATTACAGGGTGTTTCTTTTTTTTCATTGTGATTATTTTTGACGAACATAAACATGTGATTGGCGTTTTATATTTATGGTAATTGCAATTTGCACAGGGCTTGACTTAGAGCACATTGTCAGTAATTATGATGAAACATTGAATCAACTGCTGATTGCAAATTCCATATTTAGTTTGAGTTTGCGCCAGTCCAAAACGCTAATTACACTCATTTGGAAAATGGCTTAGGCATAAACAATTCTTTAAGTTTTTTTTTAGCTTCAATAGAACTTGTTATACACTTTGTCATTATAAATGTTAGGTACATTATACGGATGTTGGTAGTAATACCATATTCTCTGGAAGTTGAGCTGAAAAACAAGCCATTAGTAATGTCTGGATGCTGTTCTCTTGTAAATCTACAAGGGTGACTAACCCTTACCAAATACATCAATGTTATACAGAACCCCATTCAAAAATACAAATGCACAAAAAGACATGTAAAAGGGTGCCCAGACCTCCCCTAATACCCCACCATTAGTACCTTGAGGCTAAGATCAAAGCTAGCTGTGAGGGCCTCTCTGAGAATTAGAGTCCTCAGAGGCTTATGTACGACTTTCTCCCTTTCTCTTCACTTTTCATCTCTGTGTATTTTTCCTCCCAGAGCCACTGTGAAAGAGACATGAAAATGATATGATAATAATTAGTGGAGAGAGACTAGAGTGGTTATGGGGAGACTAAAGCGAGTGCAGGAGAGAGTGAGAGAGGTTACACAGCAGTAGAACATGAATATCAAAGAGGCGACACTTTGCCCTCTTTGCTTGCTCTGTGGTGTCATTTTGTTAACCTCCATCTAGAGATGTAATCCATTCTTCAGCGAGGGGAGGGTGAATCGGTATGTCTGTATGCTTTGCATTTTATTTGCTTGACCTTCTGGTATTGAGCTTGTTCTTTTCTTTTGTTAACCTTAACTTATCTTCTCTCATCTTCTCTTCCCTCTAATGGCATTCAACACTGGTCTACTTGATATGTCACATAATATAGTGCCGTTCCAGTCCAATCATTATTAAAAACAAAACGAAAAAGCCTGGATGATGCTTTCAAAGAGGCAGAGAATTACCCTAATGACTCATGTAGTGAAAACTAACAATTATGAAACCAGGCATTCCAAGTCCACTTTTCACCTCATTATCCCAGATTTGATCCATCTGTTATGCTCTATATCAGCCACTACTGCAGCATAGACTTTATTATGTCACCGTTGAACAACCTTTTAATAAAAATAAGAACCTTTTTTCAGGTGTCCCACAAATACAATTACATTGTTTTAAACAATACAATAGAATAACTTGGTAAATGGTTAGGATTGTGCAGCAGTTTTTGCAAACTTCATACATTATCCAGATTTAGATGATTAGTAGTGCCTCAAGCTAGACTGTCCATCATACTTTTTAATTAATTAAGTGTTGTTGCCAACTGAGACAGAACATGCTTAATTAAGCTTTAAAAAAGTCCAGTTATATTAGCCAGCTTTATGAACAAGGAAGTCTAATATCATTCAACAGTTGTGAGCAGAAGGACCTGGTAGCAGTAAATAAAATGATAAAATAACATACCAGTTTCTTATTTGCTTTCAAAAAGTTATAACAAGGACAACATCCATTATCAAAAGTTAGAGATGGACTGAGGAAAATCTCTCTATTTCCTGTTCTGTCATCTCTCTCTACTTGCAATGTCATACTGCAATAAAGGCTTGAAAATGCCCCAACAGTGTATTTGCTCTATATTAGTCAGATTAGCATATTTAAAACAGCTGTACAGACTCAATCCATCCTTAAGTTGTTTCCCTCTCAGCAGTTTATGCTATCGGCTGCACAGAGATACATATCTAATATGCCCCTGTCCATGTGTGCTTTTATGTTGCCCTACACAATGATCCCTATTTGTCAATGTCAGCCATGGATTCTAGAAAAACGGTGACATCCTATCTGTTATTGCATGTTCTTGCTGTCTTTGTGGGCAATTGGTATGAGGTTTTTTGCAATATCCGCACATGCACTATCAGGCCTTGTTAGCCTTTGTCCCTGCAGCCCCTCGACCCGTCCCAGTGACCCTAACCCCCAGGCAGCTGTTCGCCTTGTGGCAGCAGCTTATTGTTGCTGCCTCCACCAAATCTTATAGAGATAGCTGTCTGTATGATAAAGTGTATTTGAAAAATCTATTGTTTATTTCAAATAAAGCAGTTGCATTCATCTCTGAAGCCATTGTGAGACCAGCTTTATGAAAAAGGAAAAAGCTAAATTATTAATAACAACAACAAGTAAAAGTAAGTTAGCAATGCAGGTGCTGATATTTCAAATGTAAAACACTCACTCTGTTTTCCAAAGAACCCAATAAATCGAATTGCGGTTTGTTTTTAAAGAGGCTGCCTTCAGACAAAAAGGCCAAATGTCAATGAAAGAGACTGGGAATAATTGGACTCTGAGTTTTTTTTGTTAGATTTTCATTTTGTGATTCAACTGATGTGTGAATGTGATTTAAAGGGGTGTATCAAGCTAAAAAACCTGCTTTCCTTTCTAGGGCCATTCATCATCTTTAGACATTTAACTTCTAGGTAGTGCAAGTCATTAAATCCAGAGCTCCCAGGCAGCTTTCCTCATTCTCTAATCTGAAAGGATTTTTACTGAACCACATCTAATTGTGAGGACAGTTGTGTGTTACGGCCTGTGGCACAGAGGTGACCTTAAAGAGAATGTGTGTGTGTGTGTGTGTTATAGAGAGAGAGGGAGAGACAGAGAGTGTTAGGGTGTCAATGAGTGTGCGCCTGTCTCTCCACATGGGGAAAGGCATTGATCACCAATGACACATTGAGGGCCTGCCGCCATAGCGCACCTATAATTCTGATAGGGAGGTATGCTTCTTTAAAAGGTCAGCCAAACCAATAAACCATCAAGTTTATGCTGTGCAAAGATTTGGTCCCTGGAGTTTTTCAGAGCTACCTTCAAAACCTGAAACTAGGACAAAAACATACACAAACAAAAAGATTTGAACCAAAGCAGCATCTTTTGTTGGATGTTTCTCTCCAACATTAGAGGGGTTGGTTTGCATATAAATCTGCAAGAAGGATAGACCTTTTCTGAAGTATGGAGGCTGAACACGTTTTAGGCTCATTCTTAACTTTACCTTTTCTCGTTCCTTTTCACGTCTTTGTCATGTGACCTCTCATATACTTCCTGTGAGTGCTGTCATGTCATCACCATGCTGCATTACATCAATATCAGCAGTCCTGCCTGAAGACATGACTTTATCTTCTCCAGCGTTACCATCTGTCCTATCATAAGCCCCCACAGGTGACATTTAGACCACCGTCTGCTCTCTTTAAGGACTGTGTGTGTCTGCGTACACGTGACAGCTTGTGCACCCTTTGCCACATGAGTGTGTGTGTGTGTGTGTGTGTGTGTGTGTGTGTGTGTGTGTGTGTGTGTGTGTGTGTGTGTGTGTGTGTGTGTGTGTGTGTGTGTGTGTGTGTGTGTGTGTGTGTGTGTGTGTGTGTGTGTGTGTGTGTGTGTGTGTATGTTCGAACCCCCTCTAGCTGCCCCTGTCCTCTGCCCACTAGACACCTGTGTGGAGAAGCAGAGCCAAAATGAGTCTGATCACAGCTGGCGTTAACAAACATAGATTATTTAGAAACTTGGTGAGAAAAGTGACAAGAGGGATGGATAGGACCAATTGTCTTACATTTTCAGGAACAAAAGGTGCTTCAAAGATTAAGGGACAAGATGTATTATTGCCCTGCAGATATTCTGTTGAAAATGACTTCTTCACTGAGCTTTGAGGATGCTGCAGCTCCAATGAGCACCTATCTTGATATAACTGGTCTATCTTACCTCTCTCTTGCTTCTTATTGAATGAGAAGCCAGGCTTAATTGTGTAATTCTTTTGTCAATATTGCTTATCACCACATTTAGTTGGAGGTATTGAAAGTGAAAATACTTGCACATTCCTTTATCTTGTTACAAACAGAGGAGTATTAACTGTGACTGTTCATTCTATGCAGATCACTATTTGACCAGCAGGACTTACAATGTATCTTAAAGACCTCATCTTGATGTCATTTATGTTTTTTGTCTTTTTCAGAGCACTGAGACAAGTCCTGCAAGCAGCCTCCAGTCTCTACCCATAAGCCCTTGCAGTGAAAAGTCCCTTCCATTTAAGGTAACATAAAGCAGACCATTGTGTGTTGCTTTAGGCATTTCAACAATACTGAATTTAAGATAGAAAGGAGAGAGATTTACTGTCTGGCTTGAGCTGACTGTTTTCCAATAATCATTGGAATCTGTTAACAAGTTTGAGATTAAGCAACATCTGCACTTAACCTAATGTATGAGAACACCTAAATTAACGCCGGCAGATATACAGATTAAGCCTACATTTTGCTCCAAATTGGTGGTCCAAAAACAATTTGTTGTAATTACTACTACAGAACACACACCATAGTCTTCTTTCACGTATCCACATGCTTGTGAATTATGAGCATAAGACTTAAGATTGATAAAGTGTCTAATACGTTTCTGCCCAGTTTAATATTTTACAAAAACATACCTTTTTTTACACAACATACAGCAGTTTTGTGGAGCTCTGTAGATGTGTATTTCAGTGGCCAAAAATGAAACTACACACATTTACTCAAATACATAGAGCCTGTTAGTTTCATTAAAAGAACACGGCAGTCGGTCTGTGATCAAAAATAGGAACAGAATCCTCTTTTGATCCATGTGTCTCCTCCAGCTTTTCCATCATCAGAACAATTTACAGCCTTTTTTCCACGTTGGCTTATAATGAATCACAAAGAGTTCAAATAGGAAGAAATGGGAGCATGACAGGGAGGGAGAAAAAGAAGAAAAATAAAGAACCAAAAAGCAATAAGAGAGGTGAGGATACATGTTATGAGAAAGGGGCAAAGTGCTTTGCTTGACAGACCCAAGACCCCCCTCTGTCAACCTAGTCCATCAGCAATGTGTGATAAGATGTATTAATGCAGGGTGTGTGTGTGTGTGTGTGTCCGTGTGTCCGTGTCTCTGTGTCTCTGTGTGTGTGTGCGTGCAAGATTTAGGTTTACCAAGGGAGAGCTTTTTTCAAGCTTTTGTCTGGGATTTATTTGGATGGCAGCATAGCTCTTGTTAGACCGGACAGAGAAGCAGTAGGGGCGAACCTTTTCAACTCTGTGCTGCTTTTTTAACCCCCCCTTCTTTCACATACAGGATGTACAGAATAGTAACATCTCTATAAAATATAGTGCAGTATAATGCGAACACAAGGTAAGGCCTTAGTCCCTTACACAGTTCCAATGTAGTCGTGTTTGTGTGTGTGAGAAAGGGTGGATGCTTGTGTGAGTACATGCCCTCTTTATTGACCTACATGGAGTATCAGTGGCAGCGCGGGGATAAGAAAAACATTTCAAAATCTAGTGTTACCCAGCATGAAGAAAGCTGCCCTGGCTCAAACTTCCAGGGTCTTTGCTCTGTTTCTCCATATTCACGCACGGAAACATAGGAAAGTTTAAATAGAAAAGTTAGAAACATATTTGGGCAAATGTCTTTTACATTTCTATTAAACAGTCCAAACCTCTATTATAAAGACTGGACATGAAGCCAATAAATAATTGCAATATTCCAGCTATACAAATGGATTACCGGTAACTCAGATGTAGCTTGTATGGAGAAAATGTTTGAACATAATACACAATATTGAAACTTGATTAGGGAGAAAGAAACTTGTTTTTTATTTTGATAATCTTTTTAAGGTCCTAAAAAATATCCTTAAATGTGGGGTATGTAATTTTGGAGAAACCAGCTCGAGTGCGCTAGAATTTGAAAATACACAGCCGGAAAAAGTCTGCCACTTCCTTACAGAGCCCCTCCTCCAACACACACAAACGCGCACATGACCAATGAGGGCATGAGATAAGTTTGTTCCCAGATGGAAGGCTGACAGGCAGGTAGGCCATCCAGTTATTTTAGCCGGGCCGGCTCAGATGATTGGTCGTGCTTTTTACAGCGCTACGGCTACCACAGATGGCATTTTTTAAATGTATTTATTGTCAAAGCATTTCATATATTCATTGCTATCGGGATGTTAAGAGCATTCCATGGAATATAACAAAAAGTGTTTCTGAAATAAATGACATACCCCACCTTTAAGATCCGACTTTAAGAACAGGTTTGATTGTTTGAAAAATGGATTGTGGTTTTTCCAAATTGAGAGAAGGAGGGTCAGCGGCATCAAAAACAACAGCAAAGGACAAAAGGTTAGGTAGCAGACTTTAAGAGGTAGCAGAAGTGTCATCGGTATTTATAGCAGAGAATCAGTATGCAGGTGGGAGGCAAAGGCTAACCCTTTGACAGAGCTGAAGGCATCGAAAAGAAAACACAAATCTGGAGGTGGCCTATTGCATGAGGGACATATGGAGAAACAGTTGCAATGCTGAGCATTTTACATTGTTTTACTTGATTGTAAGATAGGTTCAGGAGCAAGTTCTTACTAACGGAATGCATTTAGTTTGAAGATATTAAGTTGGATACATTTGTATAAAGAAAAAATGTGTATAGGAGTGCAAGAGATGGAAGTTAGAGAGAGGGAGAGTTTGAGCATGAAAGAGAAAGAGGGATGGGAGGGAAAGAAGAAAAAGAAGGTTTGAGGGAGGGGCGAGAAGCAGAGACGTTATCCTGGCGCTCAAGAAAACGACTGTGGGTGTAAAAATAATCTGGAGTAGCAACCTGAGAGACTGCAGTGTGACAGTGCAACCCACTTTAATTTAGACTCAACGCATATGACATGATTTTAAACATATTTTGTCCCAGTTTAAGTGTTCTACTGTATTCTAAAAGACTGAGGTAAAAATGATGAATAGAGTTGTTACAAGAGGTTTATTCAGACCACCTGAGTTTAAAAACAGCAACTAGGATAGCAACTTTTGTAGCTAATTAAGTAACATTTGTGTATGTTCACCTTGTGACAGCAGACATGAGGAACTTCTTTTTATAGTCAGACATGTATCATTGTGTCAAATGCTGCATAATTAGAAATGAATAATGTATAATTGTAATGACTGCCTATTTATAATTACAGGCTGTTCCCCACACCGAGGTCAGTGAGGGCGCTAAAAAGACTGTGCACAAAACCATGTCAAGATACAAGTCTCATGGGCGCATAAACTATACACGAAACAAACTCATGCAACAGACAGTAATAAACACATACCCCTAAAGGTCCCACTCCTTTGTGAGATCCGTTTGCATCAACTTCATAAACGTTGTCCAATTCTGTCTACAACAAAATATTTATCCATGCCTTGTTGGCAAACATTTTGTGTAAAAAACAATGTAAGTGTGTCACGCTGCAACATAGTGTTTTCTTTTTATATATCATTCTATTACTCGCCAGTATTCCTTTGAAATGCATGCAGTTCTGTTATAATGCATTTCTGTAGAGCCTTAATGGACAGAATAGGATGTATAATCCGTAACTAAAGGGCACACACATAATGTTATATTCATGCATACAATTCAACAATTAAAAAGCTTCAGCAAAATATGGTTCTTCTGTGTGGGATGCACATTATAGACATCACATTTTACCAAGGGAGGGGATAATTTTGTGTGGCTGCATCTATGAACTATATTTAATTACATTATAGAAAAAGTTGGAGAGCAAAACAGCCGGCCAGTCTCATCTGTGTCTCTTTTTTTGGCTCTCTCATTCCTGGTAACCTCTCCACAAACACACGTTCCTGCTCGTTGTCTGGGCCTCACACTCAAAGCTAGCATGGCCAGTTTTCTCACACAGAGAGAACATTCTTGGGAGTTTCTGTCCTGAATTACTTATTTTCTGCTACATATCTTCTCCTCCATAAAACAGTTTTGATATGAATGATGTAATGTTTAAATAAGGATTTTAGATCTCAAAAGAATCATTACGCCCACATCCTAAAAGGTAATGTCCTATAGTGTATTCTAATACATTACATCACTCTTTTTCTGGGACAAATTCTACTTTGTGGCTGTTGTTTAAAAGGGAAGATTAAATCGTACTTCCAGACCTACCTCATCCTAACACTAAACAGCTGCGTCATCTCAATGAAATGTAATGAAAACATTTTCTGAAGGAACCATCCGTGACACCTGCTGATAAGAGGAAAGCAGAGATCTGGAGTGAGCAGTAACTAAAGAAAAAAATATTCAAGAGACTGAAGCATCAGCTAGAGTAAAACATATTGACAGCAAAATGTCCTTACAACAATAATAATGATTCCAGATGGCAAATGTTTCCTGCCAAGCATCTTAAAAGGTTGTGCCTTTTAAGTTTCAAAGAGTCTTATTGAAATCAGAACACATAGACAATTATTCATAGTCAAAATACTCAAGAATTGTATCTGGAGTCTGACTGGATGTTTGATCCAAGCAGTAGTTAAAGTCTGTCTAGTCTGGTCCGCTAATATTTCATGTTTTATATTACCTTTGATTTGTCTGTGGGTTCCTGTCTCAGCAACATTAAATACAGTACAGTATTTCACTGCATTTGATTAGCCTAATTTTTACAACCTCCTATGCTATTTTTAATATGTCTCAGTGATAGTTCCAGCTCTGGGGGTATTGCTGTTTTTTAAGGACATCTACGCAGGTGAGAAATCTCTCTTATATTTCAAACAACATCAATATTACAGGAGTGGTGTGACAGGTTTCCTAACTCTCTGTGCGAGGTGTCAGCTTTACTGCCTGTTGAGGTGCTTCAGACAGCTGGAGTACCTATAGCATCACATGAGTGCTCCTGCTCGTCACACACACAACATGTCTTTTGGTTTATACAGGACAGTTACAGCATAACAGCTTGTCCTGTACGCATGTGTCCAGAAATACTCAAAGCTCCTGAATCACAGTATACTTGAAGAGATGGTGGCCCTGTCTTTATAGTCTACTGACAACAGAAGCAATTCATATAGACAGGTGTAAAAGGTCACTATTTTATTTGTAAATTCTTAAAGGTATGATATTGTATCTGTTTATCAGCTGATTAATTTTCCATCAGCTCCTCTCTCTTTTTCTTTTGCACTTAAGCTACGTGTCTTGCCTTCTTCTATCAGTGTGAATAAATAGTGTGCTGATAAAGTCATAATTAAAGTCAGTCAGACTGATAATTGATAAACACAGAAGGGAAGAAGAGAGAAAGCAACATGGAGAAGTCTTTTTTAAACCAGAGCGGGGCTACTTGATTCCTGGGAGCCTTGTACATTTTTTGTCTTGTATTCGTTTGCTTATGTGTTTTGTTTTTTTTGCTCCATTTTTATACAATACATTACTAGCCATCCTGTGTTAGTACACAATATTTTTGTTTTGTGTTGCTGATAGGAACCGCCTCCCTTTGGGGTTACGATATGTGGATACACTGTAGACCTTTTAATTGAAAGTCTAAAGCTAATCTTCAATTTACAAAAACTCGCCTCTTCAATCTGGCTTTTAATTTCTGATTGTTGTTGTATTGCTTGATTTTAATGTGACTTCAACTATATTTAATTTTTGTTCTTTTTTTTTCACTGTCTGTAAAGCGACTTTGAGAACCTGTGAAAGCGCTTACAAAATAAATCTATTATTATTATTATTATTATTATTATTATTATAATGTTGTCAGGCATGCCTTCATAGGTTAACATAGTGTGGAAAAAATGATTGCATGTTAAACACCTCCACCTCCTTGTCATCCTGTTGGAGTCTTTGAGCAGGTACTGGCAGGGCTGAATAGGTTCTGCTGGTAGCCCAATATATAGTGTCACTAATGGTTGAGATGATTATATGGCTTTACCTTCCTTTCTGATCTTTCAAATCTCAATCGGTATAAAGACAACAGCGAGAATGAATTTGATCCTGCTGTTATTTCTTAAACCTCTTTCCCTATTTTTTAAATGGCAAATTTGACAGTGTTGAAATTATATATTAACAACCATCACTTTTTCGTGTCTTCCTCAGTTTTTTTTAAACTAATTGAATAATTTCTGCTAACAAGGGAAATGCAATTCATATCCATACCCTCTTCAATTTGCTGCTGATTGCAAACATAAAGTGGCCTCAACCTCTGTACAAAATGCCATAAAGTGGATGCAGTCCAATGAGTTTGATCAGATTTATCCCCACTGAGGCCATTCCAATCACATTAGAAATACATTGGCATGCTCTACAGCCTTTTCCATTCAATTCAGCCATACAAATGGGTATGAATTATACCTGATGGGTGACTAAATGCTCAATTTGGGGCTTCTTTCAGCAAGCAGAACAACATTTTCTCATTTTAGTTTTAGGTTTGCTAATGTCTTCTCATATTTGAATGATTTCTGTAGGATATTACATAGTAAGGCTGTTCAGTTTTAGGTATTGACTAACAACAAAGTAAGTAACATTTTCATTAAATGTATGTCATCACACCTCTAGCTGAGGTTCATTACCTCTCTGTCTTATCCCTCTCTTTTCCTCCCACTGCTTAAGCCGATCGCCAGTTCTTTATTTCTGTTTATACTCTTGAGGTCATGTCTGACACGTAAACAAATAACACAAGTCTGCATGGATTTAGATATACTCATGGACATTCAAAACATAACTACTGAATCACACACACACACACACACACACACACACACACACACACGCACACGCACGCACACACACAGTATATAGGCAAACACACTGTGCTTCAGTTCCTTTTGGCTGAGATTAATTGAAGAGGGCAACTAATGTACTAATTGTCACAGCATGTAAATGGTTTTTCAGTCCCATCAGCATCTCATATTAGTATATTTATGCTGTCCTAGCATTTGGAAAACATATCCTTATTATCTCTAACACCTGGCACCGATTCTCTGAAGCCAGGTAAACAGAGGCCAATTTGATTCAACTTTTGTTTTTCTTAATTGTTTTTCAATTTCCTAGTGGGGAAGGTTGCCTTTAATAGGTTTTATCACCTTAGAAGCACTTAGCAAAAATGTTTACTTTGTCCTCCTTGACCTTTATCTTGTGATTTTGTAAAGCCCACACACATACAGTACCTCAACATCAATTAGACCTGTTTAATCAGGAAGTCAGAAAACAAAACCCATCAAAACTTTCTGAGACAATTTCGTAGTGTAAGTCAGAACCAACAAACCGTAGCAAACACTGTCCCTGCTGACCTGCAGTATCACCAACCTTTCATCTCATAACGGGCATGTTTTGATTTGAGAAAAACCTTAAATTCATGATTTATGTTTCTATCTGTTAAGCCATCGATCCATTCATTCTATTTATCTGGATCCATGCATTTTTAATTTATAATTATTTAAATTATTTAAATCATATTTACACACTGCATTAAAAAACAACTTTGGTCGACTGAAAATTGTCACTACAGCATTTTCCGTTTCCATTTACACTGTTGCCTTCAGAGGAGGTTTTACGACATATTTACATGCATATCCCATTTTAACCATCAAGTCAAGCCCACTGGAATATAAAAGAAAGCATTACTTTTAGTTTTAACTATCGAACATTAACAGATTCTCTTTCTGTTGCATGATAAGATACTGGTGCTTTACTTTGAAGACATTATAAAGCACTCATCCCTTGAGGACAATTGACTGGAACTAAAAGAGTCTCTCTCACCACTCAACAAGTGTTTTGATCATCCAGCCATTACAATCATGTGATGTGCTTATTTTTCAAGTTATTTTTTACATTTATAAAAAGTGAATTGACTTCAGCAGAAGGCTATCTCTGTGTGTGCATCATGAGGTCATTTAGAGGACGTTGCAGTAGCTCTATGGTTCCCTGTGGTCTCCCTCTGACTCTGTGTCTGTCCTTTAGCTCGATGGCTCCCCACGGTCTCTGACCATCATGCTCAGCCCCAGGCCCTCTCTGTCCTCTCCTTCTCTCCCTAACTGTCCCCCTTCTCTCCTGTTTCCCCCTCGTTTTCCTCCTGTTATCTTGCCCCTCTTTACGTCTCCTGCCTTTATGTCCTTGAAGAGGTAATGGCCGTCTGTCCTTTCGCTCTTTCCATTTTATTGCTCCTTCTCTCTTCTCACTCTGTTATTCTTTTCCTTTCCTCTTATTTTCCTTGTTCCCTCTGTTCTTCTCTGTTTCACTCTGTGTACAACTTATCTGCCTCACAATATTCAAATTGAGTTAATATTTTAATCAAAATGCTAGGTCTGGAAAACAGCTAAATGTTTGATTCTCAACCTCCCCATGAGTCAGTGTGTAGCCTGAGACGCTCTGGCAGCTCTCTCTTGGCTGTTTTCATTTTTATCAACTGTGAAACACAAGTCATGTCAAATAGATGTGCCTAGGGAACTTCATTTGTGCATTTGAAAAATGAAACAAACAACTCGAATAACAATTGCAGCACAATTATATTTCAAATATGATTATTGAGCCAGTGCTCATTGATATGAAAGCATTATAAAATAATATCCATGCACATTAACAGATCCAATGGAAATCAGAATACCTTTATTAGTCCCACAGAGGGGACATTTGCATCGGTACAGCAGGAAAGAGCCTTAATGTTACATATGTTAAAAGAAAGTACTAAGTTATGATATAATAAAAAATATAATAAAAAAAAATACTTTTCAAAAATACAAATCCTGTAACAGGAACAAATACAAAAAAACTCATTCAACAAAGTGAAACAGTTTATAGACGGTATTTGCTACACCTTAGGATCTTCTATAGGCCCGGTGATAGGAAATGCCAAGTCTTATTATATTGTGGGAGTGTGTCCTTTCAGACATATCTTATCCTTTCAACATATAGCACAATTATAGTCATAAACGTCAAACTCATTTTATAATTTTACTTTCATAATGACATTTATTTATAATTATGTATTTTGTTGATGTTTTATAGCTGTTGTTTTGAAAGGTGCCATAATAATAATAAAGTTGATTATTCCCCTCTTCTCCTGTCTCCTGTCCTGTTGCTCTCCATCGTCCCCAAAGCAATGTCCCCTGACATCCCAAGGTCACACTGAAGTGCTGTGTGCTCTGGGGTGCCGCCATAGGACACACCAAGTTTACCGCGGACACGTAGAGAGAAGAGGAGATCACAATGCTGCATGCGTGACAACTTTATGACACCTAGCCACACACTAGAAAGAACAGCAACAAACACGCTCATAAATGCACATAAAACACTTGCAAAACCAACGTTAACTTTTATGGGGACAGCTAGAGAAACGCACACACACAGGCACAAACACATTTTGTATGTTGTCATCCTCTTAGGCTCTATGTATTGCTTTTGCGGGAATATGGACCCTAAGATAAATCACTGCTGTCTGCAGTGTGCTAAGTAATGTGTAACATGGTGTCTTGTTGCTTGTGTTTAGGATCCCAGCAGAGAAGGGGCCTTGCTGCAACAACTGAGAGAGAAAGATGAACTGATCCTCAGACTCCACAGTGAACTGGTAAGATCCACTATCCAGCAAATACACCATTTCATAATAACAGGCAAGTTTGTGTTCAGTTCATTGCGCGAAAGCAAAACCAACCATTACCAGTATATTTCGTGAAGTTACAAGGTGAGACAATACCAACATATTAAGGACAAAACATAATAAAACCCACAAAACAAAAGTAGACTAGGAAGAGACAACAAACAAACAACAAACAGCAGCAGTAACAACCTACTGCAGTACTATATTATGTTACCATACTTTTGGAGTACCGGTACTATTAAGGTTTGAAAAGTTATTTAAGTTTGAAATGCATCATTAGTATTTAGTTAATAGCTCTCTAAAATCCTGAACCCGATTAGTTAAATGATCTTTACCAAATGCAGAAGAAGGGACAGTTCCATTTTCTCTCCCTGGCATAAAAACATGGTTTAACATACTGTAGCTGTTGCCAGCCAGAAGACGGTTCTGAAGAAAATGTGTATAAAGCCTGTACACTAAAGAGGCATTAAAACACAAATCCAATTTGAGTAAAATGACTTTCCAAAATAATGTTAAATCTTTTCCACATCATTTTAAGACAAGCAACTCATAGTCTCAAATATTGAGGAATGGAGGGTTTACATTTAATTCAAACTGTCACAGTTTATTTCTCTTGGTGCCTTTCAAACTTTAAAATTAATAATTAAAACAGCTTGAACGTTTTTGAATTATTTGTTATAGGGTATAAATTAAAGACTAATTGCCTTTGAACCACAATATTTCATTCCCTTTTAAGCAAAAACAAATCCTTCTTTTTTTGGAAAAGTTAAACAACATTTCAAAGAACTGGAAATGTTGACTTTAGTTAAAGAACCTGACAAACCCTTTGTCAGTTTTCCTTTTGATATTCTGCTGTGTGAGAGTACATGCAGCAGAGGGCGGAGTGACAGGAAGGAGAGAGAAAAATAATCTGTGAATAGTTCTTTAGTTGGCTCAAACACTGTCTGGCGTGCCACCAGAAGGCCCATCTTTTCCATCTTTGTTAATGTAAACTGCTTGTTCCCACCAAGCTTAATGTAATAGCAGAATTATAATTGGGACTCACGTCCAGCAGAGAGAGAAGAATAATGTTTCAAACTATTACCCCTGTAGGCATGGATGGGAAACATGGATCATTTCCATATCTAATTATTTGTAAAAAAAACAATATGCTTGTGAAATATAGGGATTTAAATGCTTAATATATCCTTGTTGGATCATCTGCAAATATTGTCCATACGGCAAACATTTTTCATCATTTGTCATTTACACAATTTTTCAGCTGTTCTGCCAAAGCAATGTAATGCAGACATTATGCTAGGCCTTTGCAAGCTAATGTGCCAGTGCTATGGAGCTATTGCAAGAGACGACAGTCCAAGAGACTGACTTACAGTAAGTCTCATTTGGCATTTGTGTGTTTAATGACTTAACAGTACTTATACTCCTCACTATAGGCTGTATTCAGCACTGTTCACGTAATGAGGAGTTTATACCAACATTCAGCACATTTGTATTCAGACCTCAGACACACCTGTTGACTAAAACTGTCACCCAGACAGCTAGAGGCATACGTAGTTTCCCAGAAGACATTTTTGTCTTTTGTAACTCCACTTTTCAGACCTTTTAGTTTTTCTCTTGTTAAATACTCACCCCAGAAATGAGATTTATTTTATATATTGATACTGTTAAACAGTTCATGTTACAATCTATTTAAAATGAATGTCTACAGGCAATAGAACATGCTGTAAACTCACACTAAAACACCTATACCACATCAGCCTATATTGATCTGTAATACATTTTACATTCAATTACAATTCCAGATACTTTGGGATTCCCAGCTCCAAGCCTTTTCAATCCTGCTGAAGATGCACATTTTTAAATACATATAGTTTAATTTGAAACAAGGATGACATGTTTCCTAAAACAGCAAGGCCCTGTTTTTTTTTAGCAAGCATTACTAAAATAGTATACATTGCATTTGTTATAGGGACAACTTTTCATGGTAATGAAAACTTAGGAGTCGAAGAAACAGAAATACTTGTTAGTGCAATCCAATCCATTGTTTAGGACTTGATTATAACATAAATACATAATTTTACATGCCTTCTCCACTAAGTATCCTCATTTTGATGCAGTTTTCTATTGATTTTTGCTCCACTTCTCCCCCCTCCACATTAACACAAAGATCCATCAATCACTCTTTTGGCAACACAATGCTTGTGCATGCACAAACAAAAACGGATGGTAATCAGCCTTGAATGTGTGTGTGAGTGTGTTCATCTGTTTGGCACTCTGTCAGAGATGTTCTGGCTGGATTTGATTTCCAAACATGTACTGCATTCATGTTTTTACGAGCAAAAGTGTGCCTATATATCTATTTGTGTATATATTGATTAATTGTCTAATGCAGGCCTGTATCCTTACTGCTAACCTTATGTTTAACTGCTCTGTATGTCCTTGGTACAAAGGTCATTCTGACAAGGCTTTAAATGTAGGACCGTGATGTCCTTGTGCATACTTGTGAGGGTGTATATGTGAGAGAAGGAATACGTTGCCTGGCGCGGAGAAGTTAAAGTGCAGCATTTAGAAGGAAAGGGCAGCCCATAGCCAGCGCTCTCCTCGCTCTGCCTCCGTCTGTAAATCTGCCAGTGAAAACCTATTAATTATCTCCTAGAAGGACCTGCTGGCTGGCCATCACTAGCTGTCACTTTTTATGAGTTCTCTCCTCTGTCTGCTGGTGCATTTTGTTGAAGGACCGTGCTCCAACTGCAACATTTAGCTATGAAAAGCCTCCTTTGCTTTTCACGTGGGCTCGGGCATGACTAATGAAAACAGATTTTTACCGCAATCTGTCAACTCGCTTCTGATTTAAACACGACCATACGTTTTGAGTTTAGAGATATATAAATGAACTTTCTTTCATTTTTCTTACTATTAACCCTCCTTTTCACCTTGTCCAAATTCGAGTGGTTCCTTTTAATCAAAATGAACGCATTTCTCAACATTTGATAATAATAATAATAATAATTGTAATTCTTATAGCGCCTTTCAAGAGACCCAAGGACGCTTTACAATGGGAAACAAAACATCAAAAATAATAATAGTCACAAGGATACACAGGTTAGAACAAAAAAATAATCCCTTTCAACTTTTTTTGTTTCCTGTCCCATGAGCAGCGTGAAGCGAGCATGTCAGAATGATAAGTTACATTGTCATAAAATGCTCCTGGTGGAAATAGTGTTGGGTTCTTTTCATTCAGGGGACTCGCAACCCGCTTTTTCAAAAATAATCACACAGAGGTAGCAGACAAGTCTGGAGGTTCCTGGTCAAGGTAACAGTGCTGTATTTTAAAGGACAGGGCAAAAACTTTTCTATCTACACCTCCCACTGTAAATCTGCCAGAGGAAACCTATTAATTATCTCCCTAGAAGGACCATTCCAGCAGTCTGGCCAATACTAGCTGTCAGATTTTATGAATTTTTCTCAACTGGTGCACTTTGAGAAGAGTCCCTGCTCCAGTTTCTGGCTGTAAAAAAGTTCTCCTGCAATTCAGCCCAGTTTAATGTCCACTTGGATTTCCAGGAGAGGTGGCAGAGTGGAGAGCAGGATTCAGCTTTGTTGAGGTTCATAGGGTTGCAGTTTTTATACTTTCATTTTGATAGTTTTGCATGCAAACCAAGTGGTGTGAGTGTAGGCATACATCTGCTGGGAGAGCATTTAGTTGTTCTGATTTATTCTTGTTTGATGGTCTACTTTCTTTGATGGGTGTGTGTTTGTTTTGTACCCAGGAGGGTGCCAAAGCTGCCCTGAAGATGAAAGACTGCCAAATGACTGACCACGCAACACAGACGGAACACATGGGGCCAGAGGTGAGAAAGACACAGACCCCACACCCTCCCTCCTATTGGCTCTGACTCAAACACACAAAGAAGGCTCTCTGCACCACATGCCGTACACTGGAATTGTGCTTTGTGTGAGATCGTCTGCATCCATAAGATTACAATTACTAAATGAAGCTCAATTCTAACAAAAGCCTCCTTGCAAGCTCCTTCCTTCTCTATCCTCTTACTTTGTTATCCAAAGCTGCCCCTCCCGACCCTTCTTTCCTTCTTTTCTCTTTAAAAGCATCTTCTCACATTGAGCTAAAGCTTTAATCTATCTTACTCATTCTAAGGATGTTGTACTGCGGTGACATTCATATAATAGTCCACTACCTGCTCCTCCCTCTAAGTCCCACAGTGCTGAGGGAGGGTGTTGTTCTGCTTTCAACAAGCCCTCAGTTGACATGGCCTCTCTGGCTTCACTAGGGGCTGACAGTATGGGAACGCAGCAGATCTAATGGATGACTGCCTAAAAATGCCCGCCTGTAACGGAAGCAGGAGCTGAGCTTTGCCTCTCTGTTTCTCGTTCCTTTCTTTTAATGCACTTTTTTCATCTTCCCTTAAAGTTCATTTTATGGCTTTAGTCCTGCTGAGTATAAAGTTGGCAAGAACCGTTGTAAAAGTGGAAATGCTGTATCATTGTCTGAGCTTGGTGCACAATACCCACACTGACTTACTCATCGCATGCACACGGATAATGTTTAATGTCAAATAAAAAAGGAATGCACGAATCATCAAAAAACGTTCCTCAGTTGATGTTCATGTATCTTCTGCAGAACAGCAAGTAACCTTTTCACAACTGTGAACTTAAATGATTGGCACTTACTTAAGGTTATTTTACCTGCAGACAGATTAAGACAAAGAATGTGATGATTATGAGCAATTAAATGTATTTGCTAATAACTGCACATTTGATCAGTGGATTTGCTGAAGCCTGGTATATCACACTGACTGCTTATTATTCCCTTTTAAAGGAAAGTGCATTTCCTGATGTACCTTACTCACAGTGTTACAATGGAGTAGTTATACTAAATGAGCAGTTCAGATTATTTTCATCCACACTACGTTGTTCCTTCAAAAGCTACTTTTGTCAGACTCCCTTGGAAACCACATTAAGAAAGGAGTGTGTTCTTTGACTTCAGATTCCCAGTGGAGCTATTTTATCTTGACATGTGTCACAGTTTCATGATTCTTACTCCATAACCCTGTAGCTTTATGACCAGAAGACCGATAATAGACAGGGTGTAGATAGTGAATGTTGACACCAGCATTCCAGTGTAGTGGTGTGAAACGCCTCACTGTACCTCAGAAAAACTGCGTCTGCATGATGGTACAGCCCTCATTATTCCTTTATCAGTTTTTTCTTTTAAAGTTCCCTCTGTCTCTTTCTTCTTTCTTTCAATCATTTATCACAAACGCTCAAACATTACCACACACACGCACGCACGCACGCACGCACGCACGCACACACACCACACACATGACTTACTAATGCATTTATCATAATATAGCCTGTTATTCTCGGTACTGGAGGCTACAGCAAGCAAAGGTGCAGGCTCGTGTGTGTGCATTATGTGTTAGGGTGCACATTTGTATGCCTGTCCATTAGCTGTGGGTCTTCCCATTAAGTGTGTGTGTGTGTGTGTGTGTGTGTGTGTGTGTGTGTGTGTGTGTGTGTGTGTGTGTGTGTGTGTGTGCTTCATTTGGAAAAGTACGGTGATGCCAGATGGGATGCATTTATTTGAACCACTTTGTTTGACCTCTTTTCTGACATTCTGATTGATTTCAATCAGTTTGCTGCCTTTTTACACTGTATTTAAGGAGATATTTAATCTTTGAAGATTAACTTCTCTGAGGTGAAGTGGTTTGATTAAATTGCAGGTAATCATGTGATTTCAAGTAGTGGTACTAAGTGTCTCATCTAGCTGCAGGTGGATATTAGCATACCAGATATACAATAATAGTCCATTCGAAATGTACTGAGTGTCGAGACGAAAGTCAATATTAAAATAATAAGAATAAGCGATTATTAACTGAACAAACTTGTCACTGAGTATTGGAAGTATGTTGGCGGTATCGTTGTATCCCAAAACTCCCTCAATGCATAGTGTATTGTCTGGACTAAAACCTTTTATTCCTAACACAGGGAGTCCAACTTTAGGATAGAAGTACTGAACCCTATGGCATTGCTTTCTATTATGAAACAAGTTCCTTGCCATAGTGTCCTCCATATGCTCAGGGCTCTTCAGTAGATGGACTCTTAATTAGAGAAGCAGCTGGCTGCCCGCTAGCAAGCAGGCTAGCAGCACAGGTGACTTAACTCAGCAGTAGCTGCATCATGTGCGGCCTGATTTGATCCTCCCCCCTCCCCGCCTGTGTATTTGACAGATAGAGAGAGAGAGAGAGGAGGGAGAGAGAGAGAGACTGAGAGAGAGACTGAGTTCCTGTGTGTTTGTGAGTGTGTGGGAGATGCTGCAGTGTTGAGCAGGCAGGCCTATATAGGTTAGCTACCCCAGTGCATCGAGGACAGTCAGCTAGCAACAGAAAGTGTGTCTACAAGTGGGGCATCTATTTCTACTGCTTCCACGACTTCACAAGGTCGACCACCTCACTCTTCCTCTTTCCCTCTACCTTACTCGCTTCCTTTTCAGGAACGTCCGCCTATTTTTCCTTACTTAGTTGTCCTCCTCTTTTTCTTTTGGCTTCTTTTGTTCTCTAATCCCTGAAAGTGCAGAAGTTAGCTTTAAGAAGTTCCTCTCTTCTCCTCACCAAGGTTTCCAGGCCTCCAGGAATCCTTCAGGGATTCTCCGTGCCCTGGTTTCCCCCCTGTCCGACACTCAGTCCCAGGGACAGCTCCTGGCTCCCCGCACAACTTCAGGCCAACCTGCTTCAAAGTGCCTCTGTAATTCTACTTTAACTGGGCTACCTTGTGTGTTGCAAAGTTCTAGGAAAGTCCAGAAACTATTTTGATTATTGGAGAGCACTCCTCACTGACAAGTCAACTTGTGCTCTCAGTGTTGTTTGCATGATTTCAAGAAATTCAGAATTAATTCAGGTAATTCGCATGAAAGACAGCTTAGATTTGCATTCTGTTAGCTCTCACAGCTGCTGCTGCTGCTGCTGCTGCTGCTGAAGGGATATGTACTGTATTTATCACTCATACCTATTTTCCATTTCTCTTAAAGAAACATATTTTCCTGATTTGCGCATATAACCAATTTTAGATGCAGTATAATGAAGTCACTGCAGAGCCTCTCAATCTACCAGATGTCAGTCCTGCCACTGTGACCTTCTTTGGATGTAAATAAAACCAAAGCTGATTTTCATTTTTATATGAAGGCAAATTAAAAACAATAAAGTAGTGAGAATACTGAATGAGCAAATGCATAATAAAACGTTGTGAGTGTGATATACAACCTTAGTTAAAAGTTCAATCCAAAGAATCCCTCAGCACATATTCTACAACATATTCCCATTTTTAGTTCACATATTACCCGGAGGAACAATGTTGACACTGTGTAGGTCACATCACTAAACAGTCTTTCAATAATTGCACAACAGAGGGCTTTACATATGCAAACATAATATGCTGGGTGCTGCTTGTGAAGAGTGCTGCTTAGTAAGACCTACTGGCAGAGTAGTGACAGGGTCTGACTCACGTTGAGAAGTATGGATCGCCCTCCATTTTTTAGTTCTGCACTTACAGATCTATTCTTTCTGTCAGTGTGCCAATATAAAGATTGCAGGTAAGGTGAAAGGGAAACTGAAAAAGAGTAAGACAGAGAGGAGAAAAAGAGGGTTAGGGGGAAAAAAGGAGATTATCTTTTTATGTCCCACAGAGACTCTTAAGCGCTGGAGGTATGGTGGCAGTTTTTAGAGGGGATTGAATCGATTGAGATAGCTTTCTTTCAGCGAGCTAATTTCATGGGTATTCTTAAAAGGAACATTTTATGGAGGGAATCAAATGCTCTTGATGGTTAGCTCACTCTTGTTCCCTTTCTCTCTCTGTCATTCTCACTCTCTTCTCTGACGCTCTCTATTCTCCCTAGATTTGTGCAACTTTACTTTTTTTTCTCTCCCTTTTCTCCTGGCTTTACACCCACCCCTCTCTTCATCTGCTCTTTAGTAGTTTCTGAAAAGAATGAGGGGAACGGAGCGGTAGTTGAGGATCGTTTATCGTCAGTTTGCGGGCTATTACATTTGAATGGAAAAAGATTTAAGTTGACCGTGTAGATTCTTCCCTCTTTGTCTCTCATTCTGCTTTTCTCCTTTATGTATCTTGAAATAAGTTTGCAGATGGATGAAGTGACTTCTTATGTGGAGATGAATCATCTCTTCAGGCTGGATGAGTCATGAACAATTAAACAAGAAATTCAGACTTGTTTCGTGGTTTCTGATGGTCCTTCGTATAACTCAAGACCTGACGAACCATTGTTGTAAAACATGACAAATATAGATATATACTAATATAGACATTTGTGGAAAAGGGAAGATTGCTGATAGATGGAAAATAAAATAAATAATCAAACTATTTTTACTATTTGTAAGAAAAATGTACAAAGAATATTACCATTTTTAATTGAATTGGTATATAAAATGATGCCAACTTTATTTGTATGGGTTATACCTAGTTGTGCTGCCTGTCCCTGTGCTTATAGCAGATATATCTGTTTTTTTAATTTAAGAGACTGCTGTGTGAGACAAGTAAGAAAGTCATAAAAAACCGACAGTTATTCCGAGACAGGGCAGGAATAATAATAATAATAATAATAATAGGTAATCAGATATGTCCCTGTGTGACCCTACACAGGATGAGATGAAAATATCTGAGCAAGGACATGTGTTCCCTCCCTGTGAGTCCCTGTACAGCATCATTTACAGTAGTCTAAAGATACAAATTAATGTATCAAGAAAGAAGCACAAAGAGGCTACTTTGGACCTGCTTTAGATCTGTTTAGAAAAAAAACAGGTGTTCATTTTTCATCTGAGAGAACAAGCTCTGCATTGAATGTTTAGACACTTTTCTTTTCAGTCTGTGTTCCCTGGTCAGATCATCATTTGAAAAGTCCTGCTCACCTGGCGAGTAGACTCTATCTGTTCTTTGTCCTTTTGGTCTTTTATCTTGGAATTGAATGCGACATAAAGGGAAATAGCCAGGGTTCTATGTCACAATCGTTTTGCTAATCATCATGACAATATATCCACAACTTTCCCCAATGGGTTGTAACGTACTTGATAGAATAGAGGAAGAGATTCTTCAGGCTTTAATAATTGATTCAATCGGTTCAATGCAAATCAAAGGGTAGATCATCTGAGTTTAGCCCTGCCACATCTCCTTGAATGCTCCTTAATAGGTAACTGCTAAGCTTTCACATTTTCGTAACTCATGCCACCTTTCAGCTGTGAAAATCATGATCCAACCACTTGTACAAACTAAAGCAGAATGGCCATTGATTCTTCTTCTTTATCTTTGTTTGGGGGATGTTTTGTCCGGTGTTATTGATCCAGAGGGTCAGGGGAAAAGATGGCTTTAGTCTAACTTGCCTTTACTTATGTCCAGCTATTAAAGCCGTGTATGGTGGTGACACAGATCATGTTGAGTAGACCCCGTGCAGAGAGAGCACTCCTAATGAGCAACACTCATTAGGAGGAGAATGGGTCTTTACGTACATTCCTTGGGCTGGGGAATCCTGAATCAATACGCATGATGACACACATGATATGATCCCACGTCATCAGTGCTCTCCACTTTGGAGCCAATTTAAGCAGAAGGATGGAGGGTCCAGTGCTGATTGTGGCTATGTAGGTCTCTAACTCCTATTCCTGTAAACTAGATCATTTTGTACAGCTGTAGTCCTTATTGAGTAATGGTGCTCCTAAGGATAGAAATAAGAAAGAAAGATGGAGGGAAAGAGGAGGAGATGGAGGCTGAGCTCTAAAGAGGCAGTTGTCTGCCCTACATAGATTTTTTATCATGGTTTTTATGCAGCCCTCTTTCTTTTTATGTCACTCATGTCATATCAGCCTTCTTTTATTCCATATTTTCTTCCCTAAATCTTATTTCCTTTTTCTCCCTCTACTAAATAAAAATACCTTGATTTTCATTTCTTCCATTGTCCTTGCTCTGATCTCTCTCCATCTTGATATTTTCTCCGTCCCTACTTTTTCCTTCTCTTCCCTCTCTTTTCTTTGTCTTTTCCCTTATTTCTCCTCCTTCTCTCCTTCCCCCTTCCTTCCTTCCTTCATTTCCTCCTTCCCTGCTTCTCCGTCTTCCATGTGTTCCTTGACATCCTTTCGCTCTGACTACGTACATCCTCATCTTTATGGTTGGCCTTGCACCTCTTCACCTCTCTGTTCACATTCCCACCCTCCTTTCCTGTCGTTACTCTTTCCCCTGCCTTGTCCCTGTCACTGCTTGTCCTCTACTTCATGTTTCGCCCCAACTCTTGTTAAGCCTCTCCTTTCCTCTCCATTTTCCTCTCCTCTTCTTTTAACTGTCACTTTAAATCATTTCTTAGTTTGGCGACAGATTTCATGCTGCAGATAGTGCTGCCCTGTTATTTGAATTCACTGTAAGAGTTAAAGTTGATGCCAGGGGCGAGTTGTGATAGCAAGTATGGAGGTGATGGTCTTTAAAGTATGTTGGCCCTTTAATCTTAAAGAGGTCACAAGATCAAAGGTGACACGGTCCTGGTTTGGTGACCATGCAGGAGATGAGAGGCTCATGATCATTCTACAAACACTCCTGGGGGGGTTTGAACGCACTGCGGGTCCTGTCCACAAGATCGTCATCAAAACCATATTTGTAATTACGATGGATGGATGGATGGATGGATGGATGGATGGATGGATGGATGGATGGAGGCATGGATGGATGGATGAATGGGTGGGTGGAGGCATGGATGTAGGCATGGATGGAGGCATGGATGGAGGCATGGATGGATGGAGGCATGGATGAATGGATGGAGGCATGGATGGATGGATGGATGGAGGCGATGGATGGATGGAGGCATGGATGAATGGATGGAGGCATGGATGGATGGATGGATGGAGGCAGTGATGGATGGATGGAGGCATGGATGGATAGAGGCATGGAGGCTTCAATGGATGGATGGAGGCATGGATGGATGGAGGCAAGGATGGATGGAGGTATGGATGGATGGAGGCATGGATGGATGGAGGGATGGATGGAGGCATCAATGGATGGATGGAGGCATGGATGGAAAGAAAGTGAAGTAAAGGCTGTCTTCAGTGGAATAGAGTTTTATATTTTGGCTTGATATGACCTTCAACTTGTACTTCCATCTGCCATTAGAGCTGTGTGTGCATGAACTATACAACTTAGTGTACTGTACTAGTGTAAATGGTGGAGAACCAGTGTAGTAAGATATAACTTAACAGAGAGCATTACATTGTTTCTTTGGATCAGCAGACATGAAATATACTGGCTACTTGCACAGTATTTCAATAGTTGAATTATGAGTTGGTGAATACTTACCTGCACATACTGTACTTTCCAACAGTCATTATGTTTATCATCCTAAATCATTGACAAACCTCATTGAACATTTAAAATGGTAAAACCATTACATTTTATTTTTTGGAATTTTATTGATTTTGTATATATTTAACAAACAATATTACACTTTTTCGTAGACGGAGAGAGCGATGCCAACTGTTTAACACTGTTTCTAACTTTTGTGCTAAGCTAAATGGCTACGCAGTTACTCTCTTGTGTTAGTCTCAATTAACACTCTTTAAGTCAAGTTTATTTTACTTTTACTATATTACTGTGTACTTTTTGAAAATCCAAACAGTATTTATGGTTTTAAGTAATACATTAATATTCAAAAGTATATTTAACACAACATTATTTAGCAATATTAACATGTTGTGTTTGCTTAAATGTAAGCTCCTGAACCGACTTTTATTTTGACCTATTAATATGCCGAAAGTGAACTGGAAACCCCATATTGGATTTCTTAAAATAAATAACTGTTACAGTAGCAGGATGACCAATTATGTGGCATCTTAAAACAGGATGCAATGCTTACTAATCAAATTCATTCATGCTGTTTGTAATGAAGAATTATCAACAGGAATACAGCATTGCCAGCTCGGGCTAAATAAATATGGATACATATCTGACTGTGTGGAGGAAAATACCATGGAAACATTTTTATTTGGGCATTGTGCACACGTTTGCTCAGTTGCCTAAAAATGGTGTCTATTCCTGCAAAGCTTTTAAGCATAAGGTTGTGGAACCATTATGACATTCGTTTTTGGCTAGCAAATGGCAGTGTGGGTACATAGAGAGGAGCCCTGTGTGGGTACATGAAGAACAGACCACCAGTATTTATAAACCTTATACTTCGCTGCATTGTCACCCACTCGCTCTATTTTTATTTCTGTTCATCAAAAGTGGTGTCAATGACGCAAAGCACCTTACACTTTTCACCAATATTACAGAAAATAGGCGAGTGAATCCTCGTTCAGTGTGTAGCCAGTTCACGTTGCCAGGTCTTTTAATACACACCAGCAGGCATGTACTGTAGCTGTGAGTCAGTGGATGCACGAATGAATGAACTAAGCATGTGACTTTTACATGAGCCTGAAGATTGACTTATAACAGGGGCCATGTCTTCATAGTCTACAACTTTGTAGGCTGCTTTGCATAAAGGACACTCGATATATACTTGTTCACTTTGCGAAGACCTGTGAGAAGTTACTTACAGGTAATGAGAACGGACACTCTGTCACTGATAAATACACATTAGGGTGCAGGAAGTGTTGGAGCTTGATTTATGATTGCTGGGAAGAATACCAAGTTAAGTATTGCTTTCTCCTCTGATCTAATAAAAATCCCTCTCTGTCTCCGTCCCCTGTTTTTATTTTTTTATTGGTTGCTCTTTGTGTCAACATGTGTTCTGTTTCCAGGGCATCAAGGCGCATGGGAGCGCTACTTTGTCGTCAAGGAGACAACTGAGTGAGTGTCTCTGTTCTGATATCACTGGACGTGACTGTGTCTTGTAGTGATCAACCTTAATGTGCCGTACTAGATGGGAGAACAGAGGGTCTTTGTACTAAGGCTTGATTAATATACACCGCTCTACAAGCGGAATGAACTCTGATCTCCTGTTGTTTTACTTCACAAATCAGCTTATACACTTAAACGTTTTTTCAGTGTATACATTTCTGGTTTAACACACTTAAGTTCAATATTAAATTATATGAATGAATGTACTGAAAAAATTGTTTAAAGTTATGAAAACAAAACAAACAAGGGGACTGAATTACACTAAAATGGATATTGTTACAGAATCCAGCGCTGGTTATGTGAAGTGAAATGATAGTGAATGGGTTGACACAATCCAGCTTATTTATTAATCAATCTGAGTATAAAGACCCTCTGAGTGAAGAATGCCACCTGCACTGCCTTGTCCTGTAATGTAGACAAGAATGCTGCCTACCATACCTACCTTACTGTAACTAATCCTTCCCTATGTGATGGTGACCCTAAAGGATGTTTGTATTTTCTTGTTTAAGTAACTGGCACAGAACAGCTCCGTCTTTTAGAAGCCAATGCACGATCAATGTAATATCTTCTGTGGTTAAAGTCAGAGTGGGAAAAAAGTCTCTGTTCGAGCTTATGTTCGTGGTACAGATCATTTCTCTTCTAGTGAAATCCGATGGTGAAGATCATTCCTGCTAAAGCCAATGATCTTGACAAATTACAATGGTTTCAGATATTGAACAATGTGAATAACACTTCGGGCTCAGGGCATTCAAGTGCTTAAAATGCGAAATCAAGCATTCCTGAACCATTGTAGCTCATTTGAGACGACCAAAATGTGTATTCTTTTCCCAACATTCTATGTGCATACATCCTGTATTTATAGGCATACTTACAACTAACCAACCAATCAGTGATTTGCATTTCATAGCATGCAGTCACCATGGTTTGCACTTTATTTACACTTCCAATTATGGAAATGTTCTTATTGAAATTCATCAGCAGCCTTCTAACATAATACAAATACATATTTTATTTACAGTAGAATTAGGGCTAGTGTTATGCGATTTGTTTTTTAAATATTTTACTGTTGCAGGGGAGTTCAGGATTTCCCAAAGTGAAAATGCCTCTAGGGGGAAAAGCTAAACAAATTGTACTTTTCTCTCATGTCTATTCCCTTCTCCCTGCCTACCCCCCAGTCTGTAAAACCTTGTCTAAATTTGAAGCATGCTGTAGGAATAATAGCACCGCTGTGTAAATATAGTTTCCCAGCTTCCTCCTCCTGTTCGAGAATAAACTTAAACCATCTGCTCTGCACTGTGAACCTTAACCCCACCTGTCACAGCACTAGAAAACCTTTGTTGCCCCCTGTGACCTTTGACCTTATCAAGACAACCCTCCACTCAACCACACTTTATCACGTATGACATAACACCTGCACACACAATAATAGACATGGGCATTCATACATGCACACCACACATACATGCACTCAAAAAGGGCACGTCTAATGTTAACTGTTGAGTGCTAAGGATTCGTTTATGGAGTTTGGTGTATGTGCGTTCACATTTTTGCTTTACAGGGATAAAACCGACATGTTTGAAGGTCAATGCATAAAGATACAGTGAGAAACAGTAGGAGCCATCAAAGCTGCATTTTCTTTCTCCATTTTACAAGGGCATCTAAGCACTTCAATGCCTGCGTGTGTTTGTCTGTCTTCATGGGTGGGTGTGTTTCTTTTGCACAAACATCAAGATTTTCCATCATCATCATCTTCTTGTGTGTGTGTGTATGTAGGGGGGGTGGGGGGGTGGTGTTTCTTTGTGAGTCTTTTTGCTCATTAAACTCCTCAAGGACTGACAGTAATGCAGTGCTGTTGAATTATTAGTCACTTCTGGACCTGTTGCAGGACAAACAACATTAATGAGCTAAACTTCATTTATTCAGCAAGGTGAAACCGAGGGGCAAGCCAGAAAAGCCCCATGCTGCAGTTCTTATAATGTCCGCTAGATGCATTCAAAGTTAATGGAAAAATACCCTGACTTCTCTTAAGAAGCACAACATCGGATGCAATTTGCACCTGTTTTTATGTGTGTCTTGGTGGCAATTTTGCAAATGAAAACGCCATAAAGCAGTCATTAGGGTTACAGTAGAGTATATTTGGGCCGAATGTGCAGCAAAAACATATGTGATGGTTACTACTGTTTTACTAAAGCGGAGCTCCTCTCAGAATTAGGGCATCATAACACTTCACAGTCACATCTATTCTGAAAAACTGACTGAAGCCGTAAACCATTACATTAGTGTGAAGTGTTTTGCAGTGTGACATAACGGGGCTGACAGAGGAGGCTTTGAGCCTTCTGAACGTTTATCAGATCATTTGAATTTTAAATACATTGACTCTTTCTGATTTAATGCACTGTAGACATACATTTGCATGTGTTGGTTGCTGAGCAAAGTCAATGCTGCTGTGTACATGTTTGTGGAAAGGCGGAGGTAGTTCATCTAAATCAACATTGGGGAAGGGGATGCAGGTGGAGAGAGTGTTTGTCTGTTTGTGATTTTGTCTTTGTGTGTGCCTGTTGGTGTGGCAGGCAAGCCTGCCCAGTGGCAGTCATGCTGAGATTAAAGATTCCTTTACCCAGGTGAAGGACGCATGCCGGAGGAAATGTGCTGTGTGTGGTTTGCACATTTGCCTGAGTTGTCCCTTCTGGTGTTGAACGAGGCCAGGAGCAATTCCCTATTTTGAGTGTTTCAGTGTGTGTGTGTGGACGCATAACTTCTTTGATCCTTTTTTGGGGGGGTAGTTCCCTTGTTGCCTGCCTTAGACAGACATGTGATAAAGTACAGGTGTGTGGGTGTGTGCATCTGTGGATATCCAGCTAGAGACAGATATTGTCAGGATAAAACTGGAAACATCCAACTGGCCCCTGCCATCTGCGGGTGGTACTTTGAGAAGAGGCTGAAGCCAAATGATTTCCAACAAGCACACTGCACTGCCATATAAGAACCAGAGAGGTAGGAGCTGCGGGTTTGTGTATGTGTGTGTGTATGTGTGCGTGCGTGCATGCATGTGTTATTTGCGCACATGAGTCTATCTCCAGTGCTGGCTAGCTGCCAGAGCACTTATCTAACTCTGATCCACAGCGCTACTCGCTGTGACTCCTAATTATAGACAGAGGCACTCAAACAGAAACATATACACACAGTCTCTACATGCTCTCCTGTGTACCATTCACACTAATGAGGCACTCTCCCCGAGGAAGTACCAGACTGCCTTCTGATCCTTGATGGAGGCTACCAGGACCACCTCTTCTGCCAACCTCCCTCCTAGTCTTCTACTCTGAGAAAGGGATACCCATGCATCGACAGACAGATACAAAGACGTAAAGAGAGAAAAATAAGTTGGATAGAAGTAGGAATGGAAAAAAACAAAATTGCTGAAGTGAGAGCTGAAGAAATGTGGCAAGAAAAGGAGAAAAAAAAATGGGATGAAAGAAAGCTGCCGTGGGGAGCGGAGGAGATGAGAGAGACGGACTGCCAAGAAGCCAAGCGATCAGATCATGATGAGAGAATGGACGACAGGGGACTTGGAATGGCTTATGAGAATAACAGAGAAGGAGGAGAAGACATGGAGAATGTTTGTTCTGTTTACTTATTGAGATCCAGGATGCATGATCACAATCCCCCCTGCAGCCCCGAAGGCGTTCTCGGACTCGATCTATCTTTTTCTCTCTCTCCTGGTTTCCTTCTGTATCTTTCTGTGTTTCCTTTCCTCTCTCTTTGTCCATCCTCCTCTTCTCTCTGTCATTTTACAACATGTTGAGGATGACACTCAGTCAGATGCTTTAATCCTTAAGGATTGGGCTCAGGTTGCAATAGCATGTCATACATCATCGCACAATATGTTACATTTGATAAAAATATCCTTTTGCAAAACCTCCGAACCAGAAGAAGAAGCCCAAATCTGGATTTGTTTAGGTTTACAAATAACCCGGGCATGGAGCTATTTACAGTTTCCCAGCACACCACAGATGTGCTTTTATTATAAGCTATGGGGGATACATGACAAAAACAAAGCGACAATGATGTGCATTTAAATTGCCTTGTATCGCCCTTTAGCCAATGCATAATTAGTTGTCTATATGTTCCTGGCTTTTTTGTCCTCTAAATAACTTAATCAAGGTAATACAACCACTCCTGCTCACACCTCCTTCGTCTCTATGTAGTGCTGACAGAGAACAAAGCAGACAGAACAGAGCAGGACAGGACAGAAGGGACTGTGGTGGCTACTGCTGTGAGCCTCTCATCCCAGCTAACCCCACCTAGCCCCAGGGGCAGCACAGAGGAGAGGGGGGGCTGTCAGCAGAAGGTGTGAGTGTGCGGGTTTGTGCGTTAAAGAAAGAAGAGCAGAGAGAAAGAGAGTGTGTATGCGTTTGTGTGGGAGTGTCTGATCTGTGCTCTCATGTATAGCCCTCTCCCCCACGGGCAGGGCAGAGCGGCGCAGGGAGGCGGGCACCTAACTGGGCACAGATGGCAGCAACAGACAGGGACGGTGGCGACATAAACACGTTAATAAATAATTATCCGAACAATGACACTCGGTACACCGGAGTAGGCGGGAGGGGGACAGAAGGACAGGAGGAGAGAGGACACTGGAAGGGAGGACATGAGGAAAAAAATGAAGATGAGGAGAGGATCTAAGAAGGCCAGGAGAAAAGAGTGACAGAGAGGGTAAAGGAACAGGACAGGATGGGGGAGGGAGGGGGGGAGAGGAGGGATATGAAGTGAAGAAGACCAAGAGAAGTCAAGTCAAGGTGAAAAAGGTGGAAGAATAAAAATGCTATCAGCTGTTTTATTACAGACACCTCATGAGAATGGTAAAACCGCACAAAGCCTATGCAAGCTAATCTTGAGCTGCTATTTGAAGGTCCACACTGCTCAAGTCCAGTGGCAGTTTCAATACCACAGTTAAACCTCCAAGGCACAATCTCTTTTCCCTTTATGTGCGGATATCTTAAAATGGACTTAAAAGGATTGTGCAGTGTTACAGTGGGAGAGATAATTAAAAGCAAAGCATGAAAAGGAAATGGATCAAAACGAGCAGGAGAAAGGCACGCTAGTTCCAAAAGAAAAGAAGAACAGGTGAAAGTAATAGATTTATGAAAAATAGTAGACAGGTTAATGATGAGGGAGGAGTGTGTTTGAGTGTGTTAGCAAGTTACCAAATGTATAAATTACACCTGGCTAAATCTTTGAGAAATGTGTCTAATATAATAAACATGAAATCTATGACATTTATTACACAGGTGCAATCATGATGTCTGCTGTAACGCCAGGTTCAGAAGATGAAGGTTCTTTCTGCCTCTGCCTTCCCCTCGTCTCCTTTAAAACTGAATATCTTCCCCTCTCTCCTTGTTTTGTAACCGCCACCTGTTTCTCTTGCCCCTCTGTCCTTCCCCCTCTACATCATATTCTATCTCCCTTCAGCTTCTTCCAGCTCCCCAAACACCATATCTGTGGTCACATATTCATTTATTCGAGTAGCATGTTAACATAATGAGGAGCCCGGAGTGTGTGTGTGTGTGTGTGTGTGTGTGTGTGTGTGTGTGTGTGTGTGTGTGTGTGTGTGGTAATTACCTGCAGATGAGGCTGTGGTTGACTGTAAAATGGGTCTGTGTGTGTGTGTCAACATCTCGAAGTATATATTTTTGACTGCAAAGCCATTTTACAGTCAACCACAGCCTCATCTGCAGGTAATTACCACACACACACACACACACACACACACACACACACACACACACACACACACACACACACACACACACACACACACACACACACACACACACACACACCTAGAGGAAACAGTGAAGGATCACACATGTCCACACCTAGATGTCCAGGGTTACATAATGTTCAGTTGGCGCATTAAGTGACAAATAGTCAAATACATGATGTGTGATTGAAGTGCATTATCTCTAGCAGCAGTTAAGAAGGGTGGGCTGCACCCTTGTCAATCATCAACATGAAGACTGCATTGTCTGAGGAATAATAACAGTAAAAGACACTTTAACACTGAGACACGGTTAGAAAGGCACTCAGTCTCCTATGCCAACTTTTCTGTCATTAAAATTGTACTGTCGACATGGAACACGTTTATGGGTACACTGTAGTGTGTGTGCTTGTAATGCAGACATTTGTGTGTCATGTGTGCACATGTTAAGTATAACACTATACCGCCGCTATTGGAGAATGATCGCCCCCATTTGTCACTCCTTCTTCCCATCTGACAGCCACGGTGTGCTCATCTGCATTCAGCACCTGAGGCTACGGATGTTTAATGCTGCCATTAAACTCATCTCCGACATAAAGTGCATCTGTGACTAAAGAGTGAGCACAAGCCAAGCTCCAGGCAGTGAATCTAATGGTGAATTCAAGTCTTCAGACACAGAAAGGGAGCGAAAAATAAAACTAATTTAACATTGCAGGGGTAACTTTCTGATTAACCTAATTGTCCTCTCTGCTTTACTGTGCACTCTGACTCTGCGCTAGTTTTGCAAGAAATCTAAGCAGTCTGCCTTTTCTCTTTTTAACCTTTGCTCTACTCCTGCCTCTAACCATTTTTCAATAATAGCATTTTCAGTGAAAGGGATCTCAGGGAGTTATCATATTCACTAATTATGATAAAAACGTCTTGTTTCTTGGAGAGATCTAGTTAACATTGGTCCCAGTTCTCACATTACATTTTCCTATTTCAGAGAATTAACATGCCAAAATGTTGTGCTGTATTGAAGTCGTGAAGTGATATACCAACAGAATATCCACTTAACATTCTGACCTTTTCGTACAAAAACCTGTAATTGTTCTCCATTATGCATGAAATATGATACGTTGATTACTCTGTTGACTTTATCGTGTTATGTACACAACGATTTATTCTACTCTTTAATGATGTTTGCTCCTCTTATTCAAAATAAACTATGCCTGTTGGCAATTGCAATTAAGAGGATTGACAAAAAAAGCATGCAAGCCAAAGGTGACAATGGATCATGAAAGCAACAACTGGTTGACTGAAGCTGAATCTTTTTACAGACCTAAATCCACAAATCCATTTTATAAAATGCAAACTCCCCACCCAAAGGGAATTATTATTTTGAGGGCAAATTAAATGTTTATCTAATCTATTCATTACTTAAGGATATGATAATTGTATGCTATTTACTCTAATACCATGATAATAATGGACCAGAATTTCAATTACCCTATTATCTGGTGAGATTGTTTTATTCAAGAAGCCTGACCCTGCAGCTACGAGAAGATAAATGTGCAAAAGCTCAGGTGAGGCTTGCAAAAGAAAAAATACAGTTACACTACTGTGGTAAGCTTATGATAATGTGGTTTTGCTCAAATGAATAATACGTGTCCGGTTTTGAGTGGATAAGATTATAATGTGGATCCAACATTGCTGTTCCATAGTGTAATGCATTATAGATGTAGGTTTTCTGTGGCAAACCGTGAAGAGAAAAAACACTGTGGATCTGTACACCTAAGTTTACTGTAAATGTCCAATCTGGGATATGTTTTCATTGAGCAGACAAACGTAGCGGGCAGCTAATGTTTTATGATGAGTGTAACAACATCAACAACATTAAAATAAATTGAAATGATGTCACCCTCCTCTTTATCTAACTTCCTCTAGTCACTATCTTCTGCCTCATTTCCTTTCACAGGGCAGAATATATTGTTTTACATGAGTCATAATTCAGATGTGTTATTTTGTAGTGCCATTGTTGTCACCACATGAAAAATGAGAGCAACACTTAACAAAGGAGTTCATTTTGACTCATGGTACCCATGATTTAAGCGACAGTGATCTCCTGTACGCACAATGTTATTGTCTTTGCTCAGGTCAGATCCATTTTAAATTGTTTACTAATTGAAAAGTACTCTGAATAAATGTTAACTAATATCCTGTTTCAGCACATTTAGTCTTCATGTTTTCTGAGTTGGTCCAAAAAGACATACTTTCCTGTAAGCAACCACCTGCAGACACTGACATTCTGATCAAATGAAATGGAAATGTGCCAAATTACGAGGAATAACACTCTATAATCCAAGATATTAAAAGGAATGTCTGCTCCACATCTTTGTTTTCTTAGAAGCTGTTTCCATGGCAATACTGAAATATGCTGTATGTTTATGTTCAGAGGGATATGGTGAGCAGGAAATAAGGAAAGGTACAAGTTGGCTTATTGGGTATTAGACATACACTGTATGTGTAAAAGGCAATGATGACAGCAAGTGGAACTTTGCTTGGATTGTATGGTATTAGCTGCATCTAACACAATTAAACAAATATTATAAATATGTGATCCGCCTATTTGAAGAAACACTTTCAAGTGACTGGAGAAGAAGCTTGCCTGCTTCTGTCAAAATATTAAAATACAAACATTGACATCTCTACTTACCCCATTTGGTTTAAACTACACACAAACAGAAAAGTAAAAACAAACACTTTCAGGATGAGTTACATACTATGACTGTTTCTAGATGAACAAAAGAGCAGCTATAGCATCAGCATGGGTTGCCAGATATGCTCAGTCAGCATAGGTTTTAGTTTTGCTCTCTAAACAGGCACAATGGGACCAAACCTTGCCACATCAATGTGAAGACTTCAACACGCTGTGCACAGTCAGGAAAAGCTAGAGCAGGTAACTCCCCCTGAACCACGATTTATTGTTTTTAGTCACAGTTCAGAGCAAGGCTGGCTGTCTCCTCCGACTTCAAGTCTTCATCTGAAGTTAGATAACATCTTTGTGCAGTGAGATGAGACTGATATTGATGCTATCATCTAACTGTTACTCCCGAAAAGGTTGAAATGTTCCTTTAAACTTGCCATTTCCTAAGCCAAAAAATACTTTTATTTGAAAGCTCTGACACAAAAAGCTAAAGTCAGGTGATTACTACTGTACGGAGCATTTTTCCTTCCGAGCCTTGTAGTTTTTGGTGATGTTGATACTACCTGTCTCAGAAAACTACAAAGCTCACACTTGAATAAGAGCAGTTATGTCAGCAACAAATTCTCATGGGAAATATTCAGTATTCGCTATGTGTGCCTTTTTGTCTGCAATAGAAGAATAGAAGTGAGAATGCGTTTGAGAAAGCAACAAACAGGGTGGGAAAACCAATGTATCACTGCAGAACACAAATGTTAGCATTTTGATTTTGTCTTTCTTTGAACTATTCTGTGATATCAGCATGCTGTATCACAATCATGTTCAAGACCAACATACAGAATTCAGTCCACAGAAAGGACAAAATAAAGAGAGAAGATGGGCCATGAATGAATGAATGGCCATTAAAGAAAAGAGCATCCCCATCTTTCCTGTCCAATTAAAAAATACTCCATATGCTGCAAAAGGACATTTGCAGTTCAGGAAAACAAAACGCCCAAGTCATGTATTACAATCTGGTTACAAAGGAGGCAGAGTGAATACCACTTCAACAAGTCCTTTTATTCCTGGAACAGACCACTAAGTAATGGAAAGCAACAGAATGACTTATTCATTGCCAATCTGATGTTTTTCTCTGCAATACAAATCAGAACAACAAGTTCCCACTCAAAGCAAGAGAAAAGGAAGAGAAGCCAACTCTAATTAGTCTCTGTAATGAGTGATGAAAATTAGACGCTGACCAAAAGCAATGGACTTCGCATGACAGCCGACTACGATTCTTAACGTGTTTAGCCTGTTAAGTTTGTCTGACAAACAACAATTAACTCGACAGTCATATATTTTCTTCCAAGGCCTCTGAAGAGCAATGTTTAGCTAATAGAAGTGATGCATGGGCACCTACTGTGAGAAGAATAAAAGTATCTCCTTAAAATGGCTGGAACATAACACCAACAAGTGGCCCTTCAAATATAATGTAAAACAGTCCAAAAAGCACAGATTAATATAAAATGAAAGACTGTTTTGTCACCACTTGTGTGATGGATAAATTCTGCATCATTATTTCCTACCTCATCAAGCAAGAGGAAGGGAAATCTACTCTGCGTTCCCTCGACCTCCCTCTGTATGCTGTGTGTGTCGGTGTCTGAAATCATGCTGCAGTGCATCTTATCTGTCCCCAGCTCCACTCCAAGGCTCAGCTGGATTATTTCTGCTTGTCTATTTTTATAAATATGCATCTGTGCATGTGAGAAGTGTTTGCCTCTCTGTAGGATGAGATGTGTGTGTGTTATTTGGTCTTTACTATCTACAGTCAAGTGGGATTAGACACCATCTTGGGTGATGTACTTCATGAATCATATTAACATTAAACACATTTGTTCCCCTTTTCGTGTGACTGTGAGCAAATTCTTTATAATCACGGATTACATGTCTCTGTGGGAGATAACTGTATATTACTACGCACCATACTGTATCTACCTGAATTTGAGGAGGAGGGTTTCCTTTTATATCACTAGATACCTTCTCTTCTATTTGCTGCTTAGTGCTGCTTAGCGCTGTACTTCCCAACAGCCTCAAGTATAATAAGTGTCAGTGTACTATGTCTCTTGCACTCTCCCTCTCTCTTGCTTTCCATAATGTGTTTAATTCACAAGGCCCAGTTGATTCTCTTTCAATTTATCCTCTTCTCTTATATTCTAATTCAACACAAAACAGGAAAACACATCGTACTGTAGCTTGAGGCACGTGCTAGGCTGTTTGTTTGTTTAGTTCATCCCACTTCATTAAATCTGTTAAATGAGAGTTGAAACAGCGTGAAGTTGACAAGTGCATTTTGGGAATAAACTAAATATATATTTTGAAGTCATCTTTAACTAAGTCGTCATTGGGTATAATTGGGAGCTGTTGATGTTAACACGGTTCTTATAAGTCTAATGCTAATGTCAGAGCATGTGAACGATATAGCTGCAGATGAATCCTCAAATCAGAAGTGGAGAAGCACATTTTGACTTTCATGATTGTCCACTGCGAATCGACAGATGAGGACATTTCTGAGTGTTTGTCCTCTGCTCAGATTACCTGTCTTCTGCATAGCAATCAACGGCAATGAAAAAGGGAAAGAAAAGAGGATCACTCAACAGGCAGACGGCCGTTACCATAGCAACAGGCACACTGCTACTGTCAAAATTGTATTTCCTCCTCGTCTTTTTCAATAGGAGAGACAGGGGAAGAGCGGATGACTTCATACAAAACATTAAAATATATATCACACAAACAAATATTATGTATTCTACCACACCCTTCACCATCTCTTCCAAACTAAACCACTGAGGCAACACTCATTATTGTAATGTAGTGAAGATTGGCAATAATATCCAAAGTAAGTGCTGCAACTGGCAAAAGTTCCCCAATTTATGTACACAAACAAAGCACATGGACTGATGCCAACAACATTTTTGGCTCATCTACATTCTGAATATGAAATTCTAAAAACTGCCATTGAAGTGTAAATATCCTGGGTTGCAACAATCGGTCCATTGAGAGAATATGTCAATAATATATAAGTGAATAAAATACTATTGTAGAGTATACTGGTTCTGTGTTGACTGATCCCTGTTCACCATCGACTGTGGGTGAAACAAAGGTTTGTGATGGTTCTATTTTCTCTGTTTTCCCAAACTCTCTCTCTATCCATCTGTCTCAGTCTTTCCTCACCTACTGTTTGAACAGACTTCTAACTACAAAACACTAAAACGAATATTTAGTAAATGATGTTTGCTGCTATTGCGTTTTTTTTTAGATATTAATATTAACAAAGTATGGAATAGCAAGTAGTTAAAGTATTCGTACAAGAGTGTGTGTGTGTGTGTGTGTGTGTGTGTGTGTGTGTGTGTGTGTGTGTGTGTGTGTGTGTGTGTGTGTGTGTGTGTGTGTGTGTGTGTGTGTGTGTGTGTAGCAGATGTTCTGTCAGACTGCCAGCAGTATCCTGCAGCTGGTACTCTCTCTGGACAGGCTGACTGACAGGTGTGTGTGTGTGTGTGTGTGTGTGTGTGTGTGTGTGTGCGTGTGTGCGTGTGTGTGAGTGTGTGTGTGTGTGTGTGTGTGTGTGTGTGTGTGTGTGTGTGTGTGTGTGTGTGTGTGTGTGTGTGTGTGTGTGTGTGTGTGTGTGTGTGTGTGTGTGTGTGTGTGTGTGTATACTGTAGATGGGAGCTTGCTTTGCCTCCAGCAAATCAATGTCCCCTTGAGGGAATGTTGAACCTGAGACAAAGAGCCGAGACAGACAGAGAGAGAAAGCGCAAGCCCTGGGCAAACACACTTTGTTCTCTTACCCTTATTCTCCAGTTTTAGCTACTTAATTCAGACTTCAAACACATTTTACAATCAAATGTCTGTGGAATGTAATTGAACAGGAAATCAGTGCAGGTGCTGAGGTATCACAGTGGGAAATTAACACATGCCAGCAGCCTCACAGTAAGACTCTCAGACCTTGCTCCATCATGCAACCTGCCCCAGTGTTTCAGGAGCCAACACATAAAACAATGTTTTCCTGACATAGACTCCAAACGGTTATTTCAAATAAAACTGTGTGAAATTCACTTTGTAAAGCAAAATAAAGAAGAGTTTAAAATACTTTTTTTTAGCCTCAAAGGTGTGATTTGTTATTGAAGTGTAGCTGCTCTTTCCATCCAGTCGGTTTGTAAAATGTTTTCTGAGGGCGACTGTGGCTGCGAGGGAGTGCGGTCGTCTTTCAACCAGGAGGTTGTGGGTTCGATCCCAGCCCATGCAGTCAACATGTCGAATGTATCCTTGGGCAAGATACTTAACCCTGAGTTGCTCCCGATGGCATGGCCAACGGTGTGTGAATGAGTATGAATGTTAGTTCCTAGAGTAAGGTACACTGCTTTGTATGAATGGGTGAATGACATGTAAAGCGCTTTGAGGGGTCTTAAAGACTGGATAAAGCGCTATATAAGTAAAGCCCATTTGTTTTTGTACTCTTCTGCTCTGCCCTTCAGCTTCAAAAAACTGCTCCCTCGCTGTGAGGAAGTAAGGACCACACACTTCCTAAGCACACTATATCATATCACTGCCTCACTGTTCGTACTAAATTATGAGATGTGTCTACAGTTAGGAGAATTGAGTCATTCTGGAGTATTGGCTCAAGACCTTTTAGGTTGTTATAAAGGAGCAATATAAAAGAGCAGCAAATGAAGTCATCACTCAGCTATATAGTCTAGTTGCCAGCTCGTAGAGTCCTATTGTGAACCCGGAGATGTTGAGTTCCCCAACGTTTTATGTTAGAGATGTATAGTAGGGGTCGCCAGCACAAAGAAACTGCAGAATCCTAACTTGCATATCTTGGGCAATTTGCACAATTAGCATTAGTTGAGTTGTTGAATACATTTACAATACAAAAATGGCCTGGCCCGATTTGGACATTTTCAGAATCCAATAAGCAGTTTTAATAATACAATTGTAAAAAATCGAGATCAAGTTTCTTGAATTCCAAGGTAATGGATTGTTTTGTTTTGAGTAAAGCAAGAAAGGAAATAGATCATATTTAAGAGGCTGAGGACGGCATTGTCTACCACTTTTGAATGTAAAATGATGTTACTCATTAATCTATTATCGAAATAGTTGGCAATTATTTTTTGTCCATTGACAGAAATCGATAAGTTGTTGCAGCTCTCCGTGCATTTAATTTATTCACTCCTCTCCTTTCATCTCCGCAAAAGCAATACTATCGTACTACACCGTCTCTGATTGATTGGAAAGGGATGGACCCATTTCCTCATATTATGGCACTTCTGGCCTGAACTGCGACGTTGCGTTCCAGGCAAACTCAGTCGAACAAAAGAAAGCTGGCTTCACACACATTACTTGACCTCGCATACAGAGAGGAATAATGCAAATATGTATTTTACATGTCTGGTATTCCTCTTGTACTTTCATAGACAAGTGGGACTTCAGTATAAATGAAATAACTGATGAATTGTTTGACAAAAACCTTGAATGGGTTGAAAAGGTAGATTCAACTTGCATGATTGACTGCCATCGTCTAGACAGAAAAAACAGCTCTCTACTCAACGCAACATTCAAAGAGTGTACAAAGCGTGCTTAAACCTCGGAAAACAAAGAAGCCAAGCCAAAATTCAATCTTTCAAAGGTGTACTATAAATCCTCCAACCTTTAAAACCACTCACACACGTTTACCTGCACTTTCTCTGAAAACAAAGAAGCTTGGAGTTAGTTTATTAAGGGGAAAACAAAGATATACTGTATGTATCCATTAACTATATGGGTAGGATTAGAGATCAAATTTAAATTAACCAGGGATTAGAGAAAGGAGAACTGAGAGTGTCACCGTCTGCTGGCTTGTCAGACACATCACCAGACATACTACTGGTGATACACTCTTATTACACAGTGGCACCATAATCACACACATAATGCCTTATGGACAGAGCTGCTGTGTGTGGATATGTCTATGCATTTTAGTACAGATGTGCAGGGGTGCCCACATTTTCTTTTGCCCAGCAAGACCTATCCTGTATCCTGAGTGTAGATAAGAAACAAGCGGCCAAATCAAATCAGATATGGGACTCTCTGGCTGTGGTGCTACTCACACGTACAATCTAAGTGTTCTTTTTCAGCCGTCAGCTGCGGGGAGAAAGAGAAGAACAGAAAGACAGCTTGCATATTTGTGTGCTAGAGTCTCATCTAATCTCGAAGGGAAGGAAAGACATAAAACATGTTACGCATTTACAGGGAAAATTCAAGATCAGCAATTCCAAGAATAGACAATAACTCTCCCGCTTTCTTTCTTGGTCTCTCAAGTGGCATTGGAGTTTGTGTTGTACAAGAGAAATATATTGTAGCTATAATGTAATAAGATATACTGTAGAGGATAAATGGCCCGGAGACAAATGAAAACAGGTACATGAGCAGTCCATATGCTCAGATGCTATGTGATTAAATCCTTATTCTTTTTGGCAGCCAATACAAGACAGTCTTTTCCATCATGACTGTGGTTCTGTTATGTCTAGCTCATACACACCCATACATAATTTGGAAAGTATTTGTCTTCATTTTCTTTGAAAGACAAATCGCCAAAAACGTACACATAATTACATTTACAGCTCTTTTGCAGTTTTTCTCCCTATAGCTCTACAGGGAGAGAAGGCAACACTGCATATTAATAAAGATATACATATTTACCTCTGATTGATTTCTTTCCCTGGGATGCGATCTCCTGATGGGTCGAGGGGGGAGGGGAGCAGGTTGAGGCAGGAAGCCAGGGACTGACTGGAGTCTTCTCTGGACACTGCGCACACACCCAACACACAATTAGTCATTACATTAAGTAGGACACCCTTAAATAGGCCTATGCTGATCACAACATATTTTACTCATCCAAAATAATAACTTTTACATCTCCTCCAACATTTTATTAGAGTTATAAAACACCAGTCATGCACATTTGAATAGCATATTAACATTCAGGAGTGATAGATTTGAGTAATGAAAATACAATGAGCTGTTTTAAAAAATATATATATTTCTTTTTAGTGTAATTTATATATGGCACATTTGACAGAGCAGTGTGAAAGAGTTTGGAATAAAAACTGGTGTTGAAGACAAGATTTGGCATTTCTTCGTGTCTTTGTAAAGGTCCCGCTGTCTCCCTCTTCCTGATTCCACAGGGCATGAGTCACAGTTGGATTAAGAGCACACAGCCCTGCAGCTGAATACTGTCGGCCTTAAATTGCTGTGAAACTGCTTGCTTTTTAATAAAGGCTTCAACAAGCCACCTGAGAGAGGTAAGAATAAGGAGTGTCAATGAGAGTGCATGTGTGTGCATGTGTGTGAGATGTGTGTGTGCAGTCATATGTGTCTATCTGCCTCTTTATATGTGCATGTATCTGGTCTGTAAGCTTTGTGTATACCCACTGAATATGTGTGTGAGTTCTTAAATGATTCTATTTAAATAGAGTGTGTGGGAGAACCTTACTCTCCCATTGCCAACACAAAGTCGAACTCCCTTGACTTTATGAGAACAATCCATCAAACCTTTAATTTCATGCTACAGTCTGCAAACCATTAGGTCTAATGACTTAGCATACAACCGTGTGTTAGTGTGTGTATTAATGATGATGCTTTCTTTCGATCTGCACCAGTCAGAGCCTTCAGAGGTGTTTTATATATATATATATATTTATATGTGTGTGCGTGTGCGTGTGCGTGTGTGTGTGTGTGTGTGTGTGTGTGTAAAAGCTGTGCAAGTGCTGTGGCAAATCCGCTCTTCCTCCCAAAGCCCTTTCCAACCCCCATAAGCACAGGATATTCAGTTTAATATGGCTGAAGCGCCTGTTGTAATTCGCAGTTCCTCGAAATTCTGCTGAGCATTTTACTTTATTTGATTGCAACTGTAATATTAATGGAGTCCATCTGGGACTTGAACGTAGCCTAGAGATAGATGAATGTAACCTCACATTTATATACTTGACTGAGATCTGTTATATAAGAATCAAAGCCAGACGTGCTCACACACATATAATGAGAGTCAAGAGAGAGTGAATGAAATGTCTTTATATTTACAGTAAAACTCAAATTCTCAATTACTAAACTTCTTGAAGCACAGACATGGTAGGGTAACCGATTCACGTTGAGTTAAAGATAATATATTCAATTTCCAAATGGTTTTACAGCCTACACTTAGTGTCTTTACAGTTGGAGATGTGTTAATATGAAGCAAACATTCGCAATCTGAAACATAATCAATACTGACAGTATTTGCAAGAGTCTGTAATGTTGCCCAATTACCATAATGCTCTGTGATGAATGATTAAATAAGAACAGTGCTTGCAAATGCAATCAATCATTTGACTTCACTACGTGTACTCACAACCAAAAAAAAAGCTAATCCCTTCTTAGGACGCAGTTATGTCGAAGAATTCATCATTATAATAACACATTTCCTTGTGTTGTGTTTACAGCCACCCACCACACTCATTAGATATAATCATTTTCTATGTGTTATATGGAAGGAGGTTGGGGTTACAGTTTGCTGCACTGTGGAAGAGCAAAAGCAATAAGTCTCCTCTGTCACTTTCACACAATGAGGCATGTCAGTTAGAGTGTAACTGAAATGCCTAAACAGTGAAGCAGGTAAATCGTGGTAAATGAGGCAGCTACATCAAAGTAGGTGGCACATGTTAAAAGAACCAGGGAGAGCAGTGGTTTGAGGGCGATGTAGTAGAGGGGATTTAATTTGAAAAAACAGACGGGGAGTAAAGAGAAAGAAAGAGAGCAAGTCAAAAATAAATAAAGAATGGGTGAAGAACGGGTGAAGAGAGGGAAAGCAAAAAGGAGGGTTCAAATAATCAGTAACACAATGAGGAAAAATGAGCAGATGTTCACTTGAGAAGTGAAAGATAAAAGGAGATAATTTTGAATACAAACCATTTTCACTCCTGATTTAAAATCATTTATTTCCAGGAACATTTAGCTTCTTTTAAAAGCAGCCCTTACTGTATGATTTTTGAGAAATATAACAAAAACTAACAGGCCTAGCCTTTGACCCAGCTGCGGATAGTGTTGAATTATGCATTTGACTTTAACCCCTTCAGTATTTAAATAATAGTTAAGTAAGTACCACTGCATAAATATGTGGACACATGTTTGCTTGATGAAGTTAAGTGTGGAAAAGTAAGCTCTATCTGTATGTTTCCTATGCTTCACCGACGCAATGTCCATGAAGACATCTGAGTTCAGACGCAGATTTTCTTTAGTAAAAACATTTTAATTACCATGTCGATGTCGTTGGTCATCAGAAAGGTCCAGGTCCAACATAAGATCATCTTCATCGAGCTCTGACGAACCCAGGTAGTTCAAAACATCCTAAAGAGAAAAGACAAAAAAGACAAAACTGAAAAAAGCAATCTAAAGATAATAATTAGAAATACTCATTATTATATTTATAGTAATATGATTAGGTAGGTTGAAAAAATACTTTAATGTTGGAACAAACAAGTCATGATGATTAACAGTTTTAATACAATTTTAGCAAGACACTCATGAATATCCTACAGGTTAAGCTAATCATGAAGAACAAAAACGAAATACATAATAATTCAAATAGGGCTAAGATATGACAACATTCAGGCAAATTATATAAGGATTTGTATGAAAATAATCCTAATTTGCTAAGTATAGTAGTCATTCACAAAGATTCCAAAGCCAGAAAACCCAACATCAACACTTGATAGTTATTTATTGATGATATTTCTTTCACTTTTCTCCACTTGACGAGATATCCAGTCCCTCACCATACTGTAAGCACCTAGGCTCATGAACACATATTGTTTCTCCTGTTATAAGGGAATCATTAGGGTTCAGTTAGTGAGAGCAATGAATGTGCCAAATCAGGCTGTGTAACATCTGTCAGCATCCCCCATGCTTCGTAAAGGAACAAGTACCTGCTGAACAAGAGCAACTTTACAATCTACAATCCTTGGTTGCAGTCAAATTGTTAGTTTAGCTTAGGAACCTTCCTAAAGGAGTGAAATGACCCGGAAGTACCTCAGTGGCCGCCATGATAAGAGCCGTTCGAATTCAGTGGTTCTCAACTGGTCAGGCCTCGGGACCCACGGGACCCACTTTTTACTTGGTCAATAAATTGCGACCCAACATTTTGAAGCACTCAAATCTATTCAACAAAAAATCGTGCTGTAATATACGCTTTTCAGCATACAATATTAATTAAAGTGAAGTACAGTCCATATATCCCTTCACAGAACTAAAGTATGCCTTTAAAAAAGTTTAATGAGTGATGGAATCAAAGCTGAACTGTATAAAAAGGCACACATGCTAGAAACCCAACCCCAGAAGGGGGGTCTGGGTGGATTCTCCCCCAGGAGATTTTTAGAAATACTAATATAAACTACGCATTCTGGTACACTCTGAGAAGAAAATAAATAAATCTATTACTACCCGACATATTAATAATATTTTATGCCATTGTTTGTTTTTCACTTTGTTCTGACATCTTGCTGCGAGAAGAGCAAAGAGGAGATAGTCTGTGTGACTTACTTTAAATTGTGACTAAGGGTAGATAGCCCCCATGTTCTGTGACCTGTTAATCATCAAACCGGGGGTCATATTTCATTACGTGTTCATTTGTATCTGAAGTTGTACCCATGGATGTATAAAGAAGAGTTCTACCGCAAAGTTATTCTCCGTGGGGACTTCCGGCCACAATCTTGATTCTGATTGGCCAGAAGACTCGAAAAAACATAAGCAAAGATGTTTTATTATATATTATATGAGAAGATGATCACTACGTGACAGAAGTTTTCAAAGCCGTTTATGGTCTCCGGTACTTCCAGTCCAACGCCTACTGCATGCACAGCGTTAGAAAATCGGGCCTTCAAAATAAAAGTTTTACTTTTTTCCCAAAAAAAAAAAAATCCAACACAACCCACTTTTGGGTCGCGACCCACCAGTTGAGAACCACTGCTCTAGATGATAGGAAAGGAGGTTTGAAACTTCCTTCATAACCTCCTTTAGCTTAGGAAACACTGGACCTTCCTTTACGAAAGGAAAGGAGAAAATGCTGCCCCACAATGCCTTGCGGAAGCAACATTTGCCGTTTCACAACATTCGGCCGTTTACAGAAACATCCGATCATGACCGAGAAATGATTATCATGAAAGCTACGGTACTTATTAATAAGCATTTCACAACTTGCCAAAGTTTGTTTTGAACGTTCAACACTATAATAATCAAAAGGAGAAATATGAACGTTACTTCAAATAAAGTCAACACTTCATAGTGTTTACTTAGCTCTGTGGGGTTTCTTGAACTTTTAAAACATTTTTGAACGGTTAACTTATATACAAAGTGATAGTTAAGGACTAACAAGTTTATAATAAATACATTTGTATTTATTTTAAGATCTTTTCTTACAATCATACGTATTGGGATCATGTGGATTAATACGTGTGGACCGGAAGGTGACAAGCATAAGTTTCACTTTCCTTTTTTATTTCAATTCCAACTTTAGTCATGAAGAATTTATGTTTCTCTGTTGTCCCCGTTCATACAGCATAAAACAACAGCATAAGAGCGCGGTGCAAAGTATCTAGATGAGTCTCCCCACAGCAGATGCACATTTATGACGTCCGCTGGCAAATCATAAATACGTTGGATAGTTTAGTGCAGTGGGATTCTCAAAGCACAGCAGTCTCTTTGAGTAAATCCTTAGAATTCTCCTATCCACTATTCCTTAACCCTGTGATGTTTCACAGAGGTCAAGGAATAGTGGATAGGAAAAGACGATAGGAGCTGATTTTGGACAATTCGACTGCAACCCCTCTCTCTTCTTTCTCCATTAAAAATAGAGCCATTACCGACATGTGATTCCTAAAATTGTTTACACACAAAACCAACTTTCCAAAGCATTTGTCAGATGCCATTAACCTGATTTTGTTATCTATAAAACCTAAACATTTTTCCATCTACCTTACAGGGAACAAGATGTTCTCTGCAAATAGAAACAGGGACAATGCTTTTCAAAATCCAACAATAACTTTCAATTCAAATTAAACCTTTTACAAACCTTACCCAACTGTTTGAAAAGAAGAGGCATGTTTTAATATTTCATGGTAGTATTCTGGGTCTTGAGATGTTAGAAATTATAATTGTATCTTTAATCCCTATCTCTCAATCGGGCTACAGCTACCTGACTATAATAAGTGATGTTTCAACACTGAATGCCCCACCTCAAATCTTCACTTGTTTTGTTGAATGCTCCTTTGTTCTTGGCTTTATTTTGAGGTTATGATGCCCTGTGCTCTCTAAGGTGCAGCTGCATTTCGAAAGTCAATGCTGCCATCTCATGGTCATCACAGGGAAAACCATGGTAGATATAGCTACATAAATAAATATTGGCAAACTGATAAAAACCCAACACACCACTGCTAAAAAGAGTGTATTTGTTGCAGTTGTACATATATACAAATAGATAAGGTTATGTAAGAATTGGCAGCAGGCAGGATAATTGCTAAAAAACAATGACTTTTTTGATAATGTTCCCTTATTATCACAGACACATCCAGGTGAGGTGTAAAAACTCTGCCAACATGCACTTCCCTGGTACTGTATAATACTCTCACAATCAGCAGGTTCGCTCCAATTATTCTACACCTAAAAAAACCTGAGCAATCCCTTGGAAAATTATATATATTTGCAAATAAGTAAGCAGATTTTATATGGACAGCATACCGGTAATAATGAGCACCACAATACTTTCTACATCTCATAAAGTGCCCTGAATTGTCCTGATGAAGCATGTTTCAGCAGTCTGATAACCTCACAAGACCAAAATAGCTAATTATGCAGTAGTGGAGTAGTGCTTTGACCTTGTTCTGATTACATTTCAAAACCTGAATCAACGTTTTAGACAAGATTTTGAATATTTGCTTACTACAGGATTGAACTTGTATGCACTCAAACAATTAAAAAGTTAAACCAAAGTAAATATCAGGCATCGTAAAACTACATGCAGCAGTCACATGGGGTATCAGCAGAAACTCCATCATTAACCAGCTCTGTTCAGCCCTCATCACTGTTGTTTGGACATAAACAACCTCAGTATTGATCTCCTCCCTTTCTTCTACAAGAGACTTGATGCTTAGTGACTTGCCTAACTATTTAACTACAGCACTGTCCTAGGTGTGTGTGTGTGTGTGTGCGTGCGTGTGTGTGTGTGCGTGCGTGCGTGCGTGCGTGCGTGCGTGCGTGCGTGCGTGCGTGCGAGAGGGAGAGAGGGAGAGAGGGAGAGAGGGAACGAGAGAGAATAATTACCAAACAGCTAAATCAATGTTCTCCAAGTACATAACACGTGAGGCCATTGTGTTCTGTGTACTGTGTTAATGTCTAACACTATATTACTGTTTTTTCACCAGCTGCTCGCGCAGTTAACATCAGAGAAAGACCAGAATGCATTTCCACGTAAAGCAATTGAACAGGAGCACTCCATCCAGGCATTACAGCTAATAGCGAAAGGTATTGGAAAAGAAATGAAGACCCATTCTGTGTGATACTACTGAACAGACTCCATTTGAAGCTAAATTACCCATTTTAATCTGCCCCTCTAACCACAGAAATCTATTAATATGATTTTACAACCCAGAAATGTAACCTTTTTCCCTTGCTTATGTGATTTGAGTGAGTGTAATCCTTGAGTTAATAGAGATAATATCAGATTCAAGTCTGATTAACAGATGGCTCCATCTCTTAACCTACAAGCAGAATAATAATCCCAAGAGATAAGAGGATACAAGAGCTTTTTCCAGTCTTTAAAACTCACTGGTTTATATTGAAGGGAGAGGGGCAATAGCTACACAACTGTAACGTTTTGTGACCTTTTTGCACGGTTGTAACATTAATTTGTGGACAAAATCTTTCCACATATAGAAATATAAACACCAGTCAAAGTACCGTACTTAAACCTCTTCGGTGATAGTTCCTGCTACAATAGCAGTCTCCATGAATACCGACAGCGAAGGGCCGGTCACATTTGGTCTTATGTCGACATTTTGGAACCATTAGTAGGGCTTTAGTGGAGAATATTTAGCAGCAATAAGGCTCGTCGAGATATCAGAGATATGAAAGGTGCCTGACCATTCACCACTATAAAAACAACACGTAAAACTTTACAATCAGGCCGATGTAGTACATAACCAGGGTATTGAGTCTTCCTAGAGAATCCATCAGTAAGGGTTTTTCCTGTCCATAAAATTCACTGGTTTCTGTTCATACTCTGAGGAAATCACATACAGTCTATAAAAACTACATTTATTCAGTGCCCTAGGGTGATAAATGCGTTAAGATCAAGGGAGAGAGATTTGGCTTGGTAGCCAGGTATTATGGCTTCTGGCGATGGAAAATATACGGTCTAACAAATGACTTTCATTCTGTCTGAGCAGATGCTTCACAGCCAGTTGTGTTTACAAGGTGCCTGAGGGAACAAAAGATTGAATGTCCAGTCAAAAGGGAAATCTGTTGAATGCAAAGAAACCGATTTTTAATCAGAGTGTATCTTTATTATTATTATTATTATTATAATCATTATTATTACTGTTGGCAACTATCTTCTCCTATACATACAGATTCATCTCTCATCCCAAAGCCAAGCAAACATCCATTTCAAATTAAATGTGCAATGCCTTTTACAATTTAAGAGAGATACTACATTTTAGTACTTTATAGAGTACACTTTGGTAGCAACAGTATCCATATTTCCACTATGGACATTAATTTGAGTTACATATTTAAATTAAGCAGTCCTATCACGTATTGTAAAGTATACAACTTTACGAGATGATATTGTGTGCGAGGCTGCCGAGGCAGAAAATGTGACTGCAGTCATAACTTAGAGATATCTATGTTTGTCCTACCTCTGCAATATGTCTGGATGTGAACATGATTTCTACAAGAGAAAGCACCTAAAGGTGGAGTTCTTCCCAATATCAAAATTGTCTTTGAGCTCTTTAGCCTGTCGATGAAAAATGTCACTGAATTAAAGAAAAGTTTTGTTTCTACAGCAGAGGAAGTCAATTTCTCTCTGATAGCTACTAATGAGCTCCTTACTCCATTTTTAGTGTACATTTACTGTTTATTAGCCTCTATACAGGTAATGAATTTAAAATTAACACATTTAGTATATGAACAACAAGTTATCTTCTAATAATTGCCATAAAATATTAAACATAACTAGCTATAATTAGGGGATTGAATGCAATATCAGAATGTATTCATGTGTGTATGTGAACATGTGGTATACATATTCCAAGTCCATATTGTACAATAAGTGTTCCCTTGTTTTTAAGAACATTTTCTTTGGTAATATGCAAATAAATGCAGCATGATGATTATTGTTTATAAGAATAAACACCAGCAAACAGATAGTGCTAAACCACATTTGCCAATTTACCTAAATTGTCTTGATTCATAATTAAATCACACAATAATACTACTAGTACTGCTTATTTTAACAGCATTTTGGCTCAGCTAACTTTTGCTGCCAATAACTATGAATGGTTATGTCATGATTTTCTTTTCATTCACCAGTGTCTTCTGAGCTCATCTGTGTGACAAGTTGGTATCAAGGAGCATAGCTTCAGAGAAAGTTATTTGAAATGTGATTTAATGTGTGTATGATCAAATTTTGTACTGCTTTCATAAGCTGTCCGTGGGCAAAACCATACTGTACAAATATCCTCATTGTTTTTCATTTAAAAACCCAACCGTCTGGTTGTGGTAGTAAAAGATTCTGTCTCGGATAAGAAGATAATCCTTATCTGTTCTATGATTATTTACAAGTGTCACTTATGATATCAAGGCTTTACAAGGCCGCATTCAGACAGGAGGGTATGAAAACAAGAGGCATCCTGTTAACAAGTCTAGCGAGCAAGCTTTGAATGCAGGTGTGGATGTGCATAAGTAACAGTCAAATTCAAATGGATTGCAGTTGAACTATTCTGCCATATACTGAATGTCAATCGACCTACAAACAAAAGTTCAAATGTGTTCATCTTCTCTTTCAGATGAGAGAGAATTTCTTCAGAACGACCTAAGTTATTCCTTTCAACTGGAATTGAATTTAATCCCTGCCAGCCTGCCAACATATTATCACTGTCTCACTGAGAAAAATATGAGCAACCAACAATGTTTACGGGGGGGAAATAAATATCTCTCGACAACCCGAATGGGATATCAAAATAACAACAACAACTGGAATGAGATCACCAAACAGCTCAAGCAAACACAGCGTTCCTGACAGAGACACCTCACAGTTCATCTCAACTTAGAATTAAACTTATTACACATTTGTCATTGCTAATCAAATCTTTAGCAGCTTCAAGGTAATTATATTCTCTCCTTGTAATGAATCAGTAAAAATAAACTATATACACCTAGCCTACCGTCTCTGTTTGGCTCTAAACTGTTGCACTGTCCCACAGGACTTCTTCATAGGTAAACACCACAGTGAGCCACACTGTTTATACAATAAGCCAACCATTTCTCTTCCTTGTATTCATACCCTCAACTGCCTTACTTATGTATTTACTTAGAAGAAGGCCTCTCAGGTGTCTCAGTTCAGACTTATTCATAAGCTTCATAAGTGCCCTCTGCAACAACAAAAAAAAAACTTTTATCAGGCTGAAATAAAGAGGAGAAATGGAGGGACATCATTGAATTTAGACTCCAAGGCTCCTGCGCTTTAGGCACAATGTAGGCCCCAGAAGGGCCCTTCAAACGACAGAGAAAGGAAAAGAAAAGATTAGAAGTCTGTGCCAAGGAGCAGATGGAGTCTGCAAAGAACATAGCAATGTGCTGTGTGTATACATGCCCTCTGGATGAAAGCATACAGTCCTTGGTAAAGTAAATTGGATTGACAAACCAACAGAACTTCCCCTGTGTGTTGTGATGTATTGTAGGGAGCCAACCCATACACAATAATACCAGTAGCACCTGAAGCAAATGTTGTTAAAGCATGAATCAAAAGACGGGGGCAATGACTGTTAGAGAGTCAACTTTACATTACATGTCACTTGTTAGACGCTTTTATCCAAAGCGACTTACATACTCAATACTGTGGACAATCCCCACAGGAGCAATTTGGGGTGAAGTGTCTCGCCCAGGGACACAACGACATGCTGACTGCAGTGGGGTTTGAACCCTGATCCCAACACCAACGCTCTATCCACTGCGCCACACGCCTCCCAACTCACACAATATGTGAAATATTTACTGAAGAAGTAATATTACTAAACTAATCACACTTGCCCGGGTCATAATGTCAGGGCTTTGCCTTATATAGCATTAAATATTAGAAACAAGATTTGTATTTCTTCTTATCATTTGTATTCATGTGTACACACAAGGTAACAACATAACTAAGAATATCAAGGGGTTTTCAGATTCTCATTCTTAACTTGAGCTGTTGAATATCAGAACTAATGACACATTAGGACTTATTAGTAACCCGTGTGTGATTGCAAAGTCAGTACAGAACTCTAGATCGCCATTCAAATGTGACATTTCTTGTCATGAGCAAATGTGTGTCTGTTTATGTTCACCTCACGATACACACTGTTCAGTGCCTCGTGGAAACGTTTAAGAAAGGCATCATGGTAATCCTTTTAGGATACATTAAGTGCTATGCTCAGTTCTTGTGTGCTGTGTTTTGGGCGGATTCATTTTCTCTACCATACTTTTGTTTCCTCCATTACATTTGGGGAAATGTATTACTGCCCTGAAAGTGCACAGCAAAGTATTCACATTTGGTCTTTTTTTTTTCTATCTTGTTTTTCTACTCTAATTGATTTTGTTTTCCTTTGTGTTTTGAAATATTGTTCTAGTGCATTTATTTGCCTTTTTTTAAAAGTACTTTTACTTTCCTCTGTGTTTGTAAAGTTTCTATATATAAACTGGATGGGCACTCAGAGAGCTCAAGCCTCCGCTAAGGTCATGCCCCATCTTGCAATATTAATGAAAATGAAAAGTAATGTGTGTATCCGCCCTGTGATTTGGATCTGCTCCAAAATGTGTGGCACATACTTAACTGTTTAGTCAGACACATGTGTATTTTTGTATGTGCGTGTGCGTGTGCGTGTGTGTGTGTGTGTGTGTGTGTGTGTGTGTGTGTGTGCGTGCATGTGGGTGTGTGGATGTGCTTGTCTTGGGGTTAGTTATGCTATACTAAACATCATAATTCAAATGTAAACTGTTACACACACACACTAAACTGTATCTTTCATACACACACACAATCTGTATCTGCTAAGTGTTAACCCTCATTCAGCATGACCTGAAAACTTAAAAAAAGTCATATCTAGTCATTTTGAATTATACAATCAAACACACACACACACACACACACAGTCGAGACCTACCAGACTGCCCAGTTTGGAGGACGAGGAGTTGTTTCTGTGTTTGAGGAGGCCACATGCCTCCATGCCCGGGGCATCCTTGTGGTTTCCATGGATACGAGGCCCACCAGCCCCTTCAGATGAGGAGCGAAGACGCCTTTCCATCCGCATCACCTCATGATAGGGGCTGACACTGCTGCACAGAGACGCTGCTGGAAAGAGTAATGAGAGGAGATAAGTTGAGTTAGGGTGAAACTGTTGAAACACTGACTCTAAAAGCAGAGACATAATCATCTTTTTATTATATTTCCAACGGGTAGCAGTCAGCCCAATTTCCTGTATGACGGTGAGTTATTTTCATGAAACTTAATGAAAAAAGGGCTCTTACTTATTGAGATTTTTAAATTAAGTAAAAATGTCCCTATCTAAAGCTCCTCAGCGGTATTGTTTTGGTCAAATGGTATTTTGTGATCATCAGGTTTTATCTCGTTCCCACAAAATGAGAGAATGAATGATGAACTTCAAGGGCAAAACCCAGACAACTGCTATAATTGCTCTATTATGATCTACTAATGGATATATGTATAAACAGACAGACAATGCCAGGTCCTTCCATTGTGTGCACGGTTATGAAACAGCTCTTCATGAAAACCACTCGCTCCCTACCTGTCTCTCTCTTTCACAAACACTGACACATGCACAATGCCTACATGTACAAAGTGTGTGTGCACGGGTCTTTTTTCTTGTCTTCTTTTGTCTTTATTCTGACACTTCCTGTCTCCGGCCCATTTTACTAGAGGCTCAGACCCTTTCAGCATGAAAGGAGAACACATACCAGAGGACTTTAAACTGTTTGTGAAATGGATATGGTCAAATTTGTTTTTTGTGGAGTCCAGCAGACTCCTCCCGTTATTCCTGTAGTTTATCTGTAGTTCCCACAGCTTGGAAGCTAAACATTCACCAAGTTCTAATCAATATTTAGCTACTGCCCTACAATAATGAATTGCAATACACTACATGCGTGTATGTGTTCACAAAACAACAATAGGCAACTGATTCCGCACTAAGCTTTCAGAATTGAGAAGGTTTTTTTTGAGCATGTAACACTTACATGTCAAGTATAACTCAAATACAACAGCATTTCTACTGGGTTGTCAAAAAAGTGTCCACATTTAAAAAAGAAAAGAAATGCTATCTTAATTAATTTGTTGAGCACTTTTTGATCATGATTAAATCTTGATATATTCATTAATTTGAACTTATCTTACTAAAACCCTCAGTTTGCTCTGCCAGCAGCCCATTAATAAAGTGACATTTCAGTATCAGCAAAAATGAAATGATCAGTTGCTTCGACTAAACTAATTTCTAAAAACACGGCTAGCTAGTCCAAGTGAGACCATTAATCAAGCCAACACTTGATTCACTAAATTATCTCTTTTCCTGAAAGGGTAATAAACTCAGCCAGAATCTCATGTTCCATATCACACATCAAAGTCTGAGAAAAAGGTTAGGACACAGGGAAAAATATTTTTTGGGAAACATAATTATGGGCTGTAGATCTCGGGAAGAAATATTTTTTTGTGAGGGGAAGCCTTGGCTGAAAAATCTCCTCTGCAATATGTTACAACAGCTGAGGAAGTGAGGAAAATGGTAACACATCATCTCGGGTAAAATGATAAATTGTCAGTTTGACAAACTACTGTCAACCCACATCTAGCATGTGTTCATTAGACTGAAGGTTTTTTTTCAGATTAACTGTGAGGTGATTGCTCAGAGTGACGGCTATAAAAGTTTCAGATCAATGTTCGAGCTTCGAAATGTATAGTAATATTTGGACACAACACAAGAGGAAACATGTTTTCTGTTGCTTTTTGAAATGCAAAATGTACTGATACATGAGTGAGTTAGTTATCAGGTAAAGCATAAGTGTAAATAGAATAAAAAACATATGGATATATATCCATATCTTTTTTATTCTATCCCAAAAATACAAATATGTCCATAAGACACAAGCAACACGCACATATAACAAATATACATAGCATACATACTCCCCGCACAGCAAGAAGTCAATACTGTCAATGCTTTTTACATAAAATAGCTAGTCAATATCATAGAGCCGATATCACAAAAGAGTGTGAAGCCAAGTTTTGATGTCTGTGTGTCTCAGTTCTCATTCATAACACTCCGTTCGATGTCTNTTTGAATGACGCATGCGGCGTAGCGCAAGCTACTTATAGGGGGTGGATTCCCTGACGCTGACGTCAAGATCACCAGCCAATCAGGATTGGCGTAATGAGATTGATGCTTCTGTTTGCTCCGCGATGAGGCGCATCCCATAGTGAGACATCTCACTTCATGTTACTCTGAGAACTGGGGTTACGTAAGTAACCTATAGTTATCATGCGGGATCAACCTGGCTGGGCTCCCATGGTACACGGTACATGGTAGTGTATGTTATCTGAGTTTGTGACTGTGGCGATGCATGTAAACTTGTGATTTGCATGAGTTTCTCACCTGCATGTGGTTTCCTCAAATGAGAGGACCTTGGCTCGTGGCAGCCACAGAAGCTTCCTCTTTCTTGAATGGAGCGCGTTCTTCTTGCCTTCCTTTCCGATTGCTCTGGGTTAGAGTGGCACCCCTCGCTGAATACCACACATGCCTCGCTCTCGCTGGTGGTCTCTGTTTGGTAACCTGCCTTCCTCTTCTCCACTAACTCCTTCCTCTCCACTGCTGACAACTCATCTGTCACTTCCTTTCTCTCTTCCTCCCTCTCCCTTCTCTCTTCCAGTGATTGTTCCCGCAGAGGTAGGCAGGGTACAGCTGTCTCCGGCTCTGAGAGGGAAATGGCAGTCTCATAGTCTGTGTTGTTTGCTGTGCTGATGTCCGGGAGTAAAGGTTTTTCAGTGCTGGACTGGGCTGGAGTGAAGAAGACCTGAGGAGAGGACATTTCATTGAGAATGTGTAGAAACAGAACAAGCTGTTGCTGTCAATGTTACATTTGAATAGAAGCACAATTGTGAACTGAAATGGGTCAAAAGGTTTGCACAAGGATATATTTGTGTCCTCAGGCACAAGGTGTGAATGTTTGGGAAGCACAGTCACAGTATTTAATCTTGACTTAAGTGCGGAGTTTTGTCTTTGCAGCCAAAAATAGAATCAATTATTTGAAGGAGGAAAAGTTGTGAGCACAAAGGTGTGAAATGTGGAGGACAGTTTTCAGACACGCATGGGCCTTTCTCTTCATGCCTTAGCACTTTCAATAAAAGGACTTTTATGCCCTGTGCTCAATTTTTATGTCACATTTCACAGATTCCACTCAGTGATCATAAATATTCCTCCTTTATGGTTTTTGTTCTTGACATCCAAGGGCACCTGTGGTTGTATTATCTATTCCTCAAGCTCTAATATTGCATTTTTTTTACAAATATTGTTTGCCAACAAGAAGAAAGATTTACTGATTGAATGATTTTGCATACCTAAGACAAGTTGCATTTTCATCTTAAAATTCATGTTGTTTCTTTATTATTCCCGAAACTTTTACATAAAGTTTATGGTTTGTCTTTAACGATCAACCCATTTGATTCCAAAACCCATACATGATTGACAGCAAAAAGAAACAGGCACACTACCTGGGATGAAGAAACAACCAAGCTGAAGTTCTCTGGGGCAGGGGGGGATTCAGGTGGGGATTCAGGTGGGGATTCAGGAGGGGATTCAGGTGGAGCTGGGTAGACATCTGGCCCGGGCTCAGAGGCAGGAGGGGCTACAGGGGTTCCGGGGCTGGGAGCTGGCAGAGCATCCACCTCAGACACAGAATCCTCCGTGATGGGGATGAACTCTGAAGGGGTGATGGCTGTGGTTCGGTCCTCTGATATCATAGGGGACTGGAGTGAGCTTTCCCCACCGGCACCAAGCTCCCCTGGCCATGAGCCCGGGGTGAGGCCGCCGGCCCCCGGAGTGATGGTGGTGGAGCTCGGAGGTTCCAGATTCACTTCTGGAGGTCTGTGGTGGTCGGAGGTCCGGGAGAAGCGGTGGTGAGCGGAGAAAGATTTGGGCAGCAGCGTTTTCTTCCGTGACGACCGTTTGCTATTACTACCTCCACTGTAGTCATCCAGGAACCCAGAGTCGTCACCCTCATTGGCCCCTGAGCCACTGATACAGTTTGTAAAGACATTTCGATTGGCTGTGGAGGAGGAAGAAGAGGACGCTTTTTCAAAGTCCTCCGTCTGAGAGCGGGAGATCTTCTTTTGCTTGTGGCTGCCGAATCCAAAGGAGTGGCGTGACTTTGGGCGTCCACCACCTTCACTGAACCCCGTTGACGATGACGTTGAAATCTGCTGGTCATTTCCATTTGCGTCAGTGCTCTGTGTCAGTGGGGGGGTGAGGTTTAGGTTGATAGGCTTGACACGTGGATCACTATTCCGTTTAGCTGATAAATTGAGGGATGGAGTTCTGAAAAAGCTGCGGCGTTTCCCCGTGCTGCCTGAACTGGAGTTGGTGCTGGAGGGTGAGGAGGTGTGGACGCCATTGCCCTGTCCACCTGAAGAGGGAGAGGAGGGGAGGGAGTCCTGCCTCTTACTGCTGCTGCGGCGGAAGATTGGCAGGCGGGACACAAGTGTGGACCGACGTGAGCCTGATTCACCCATCGAGAAGCAGCCGAAGTGGGGCACTCTGAGGAAACAAACAAACAGAAAAAAACATTCAATGGATACAACATGCATCAACAAAGATTCATATTCAACGTGACCAATCTTGTTGTTGGGAAATATTAAGGCATCTAATAATTCTGACATTCACAACTTGCAACATGGAAATCAAATATCATGATATTGTTTTAACAAATACCTCTAATATTGCGATTATATTGTAGGCACTATAAAACCTGATCATAAAGGAATTGTCCATAACATCATTAAGGCCATTTATATATATTTTTGTAATGATCACTACCAGCAATGGAAGCACATGCTGACTGTCTTTCCTTGAGAATTGAGTCCGTTTCTAACCGAGTTTAGCTACCGTTATAAACTGACAATTAAACCCTTTGTTCAAGCCAAGAATCAGATATAATAAGCATAATTCATCTCTGCTCAGTCATGAATGATGAAAAACAATGCAATGAGGCTCAGCAGTTACACCACTAACAATACTTTTGTTTATTTGATGCTACCCATAAGAAATGCAAGCCCGTTTTGACCTTTCTTATAACAAGAACTGCCTCCAGTGTTTAGCACAGGTTTCTTAAAGTAAAAACAAAGGTGACAAAAATGAATCATTATGGTGGGACTGTTCAATTCTTTAATTGTCGGTCTTTTAAGGTTTAACCTTGAAAAATCCTTAAGGAATATTTCATATTTGTCTTTTTGTTTTATCCCGGGTAATTGGTAAATAAACTTGTTTTAAAGCACAACATGCAAAAGAAGGAAAAACAAGGGGGGGGCCCTATTCAAGGATTATCATCTCAGATTGATGATAGAAAAGAAAAAATGAAATATAAAAAAGTAATGAAAAGCCTTAACTTCCTTGCCTGTGTCGCAGCTACATTAGAGAATATTAACTCTCTGTTTCAACTGCACCGACTGTCTTTTAGAATAAAAAGTAAGAGTATCAGGCTGAAACACTGTGCCTCATGTAATCTTCATTTACAAACGGCTTTATACAATTGTACACATAGAAAGCCTCTTAGTGAATTAATTAAAAGAGGGGTCATTGTCTGTAAGAACCGACTGAAGTGTTTAGTCAAAGATTAAAAGGAAGACATTAATTCATGTTTTACTTGTTTCCTACAATGAATTAGCCAAACTGTGACTTGTAGTGTTTAAGAGGCTGTCACTGTGAGAGCCTCTCTGTGTAATAAGCTTGTCTTGACACCCTTCACTGAAGTGGCTCATGACATGAGTGTGTGAACTCCTTAAGAGTACATTTGATCAAGTTGGGATACAGACGGGTCCTTTTTTTTTTTTAAGTGGACTCAGCTCACGTAATATAAAACTGGTAATTGATATTTATCTATGTACCTAATTTATGTCAACATTTAGAGTAATTATGATATTGTGAACAATTAATAGTATATTCAAAATGCAGTTATGCTATGTTATGACTGTCATGGATCAATTCAAGATATCTGTGCAAGTGAAATAATTTGCAGGTTAGCACCCTAGTCAAATATGTATTAAAAACATTTCAGATTAACCAGCAGGTCAGAAGTTACCCTCACCACCACACAGACATTTGACCGGGTCATGACACTCTGGCCTGTCTCATTGTGACCAGGTAAACATCGTTTAACTAATTATATAGAGATTAAAAGAGATTGAGAACAGTCCTACCAGTCCGGTGCAATAGGAAAAACACTTTTAGACAATGGCTTGTAGCTGTCACGCCTGGTGAACTGAACACACATCCAACGCAAAAGCATAACGCAACATCACTGCTGATAAAATGAAGGCCCACCCACATGGAGTGTGCCCACGCTGAAGCTCAACAAAGAGAAGGTTGAGAGGTGATAACTGCACTGAAACAGGTGTTTACTTCCCGATGGCCTTGCCACTGTACAAAAAAAGATACCTGAATCAGAACTTCCGCTTATCTCAGTTCCTCTTCCCTTTGCTCTGTAGTGCAGTATAACGGGCTGCTGTGTTGGATAACAAATCACAGAGCATAAACTATTTGATTTGCTGCTTCCTTGACTTCCATTCGAATGCTGAATTACAAATTGCCTGAACTAAATAAACGGGGCTCGACTATTCTTGCTCTGGACATTTCAGTAGTTTAATTTAAAGCAACTGTCCAAATAATATAATTATTGATGTAAAGCCTAGCTTGATATCTTTTGTTCTTGCACTGCTGTGTAGTTTGAATTTTCTTATAATCACATACGACCAAACGGCTTCCAAATTCCCCTTTGAATGAACTTTTACACTGATAAACCATTAGACTATCTGACGGTTTGAAAGAATAAATAAAGGTGTGTATGGCCTGTGCGTACTGTAACTGGGTGTTTCCTATAAAACAGGTTCTTGATGCATTTTTGACAGACTAAATATTAGGCAACACTGTAAGGCTGATAACAGAAAGAAATATGATTCATACAAGCTTACATACAAGTTTTCTGATGTCTGATAAGAAATCTTGAGATATTTTTAAACACATTGTGGCTTTACCAAAGTAAGATAAGAGTTTGTTTTAGGCTGTGTGGGAGTTGCTTTTAGAAGGTGTGTGTTTTCATACAGGGAGTGATCTGGCTTCAATGATGGGCTTGCTGGTATTGTCGAAAAAAAAATATTCCAATATTGTATCTGCATTAAGACACAATGCCCAATTACCATCGTGGGCATGGATGTGGACATTGTGGACAGCTACAAGTTCCTGGGTGTCCATATAGACAATAAACTGGACTGGAGTAAAAACACTGACGCCCTATATAAGAAAGGCCAGAGTCGCCTGTATTTCCTCAGGAGACTCAGGTCCTTTAACGTTTGCAGCACTATGTTGCAGATGTTCTATGACTCGGTGGTCTCCAGTGTGATCTTCTTTGCTGTAGTGTGTTGGGGCAGCGGGGTGAAGACAGCTGATGCCAACAGACTCAACAAGCTCATCAGGAGAGCAGGCTCTGTCCTGGGAGTGGATCAGGAGTCGTTGGCAATGGTGTCGGAGGGGAGAATGCTGAGGAAACTTCTCAGCATTCTGGACAACGGGTCTCACCCCCTGCATGCCACACTGGTTTCCTACCGGAGCACTTTCAGCCATAGACTGAGATCACCCATAACCACCACACAGCGCCACAGGAGGTCTTTCCTCCCAGTGGCAAACTCTTTAACTCTTCACCCCTAAGTAAAGGGCACTGAGAACTCCCACACCAACACTATGTGCAATATACTGTAAGTTCCATCACTGCAATACACTCGCTGCTATATATATAACTATGTGCAATATTATATCATATTATTATTATTAGTATTATTAATAATACTATGATAACGTGCAATTACGTAACTGCCACTACGTTTTAATTTTTGCACTATAACTACTAAATACTGCTAATAATAATTGCATTGATTGTGTGACTTTCTATGTTTCTACGTTTTATTGTGTTGTTTTGTTTCTTTGTTGTTGTTTGTATGGTTTTTATATTTGGCTTCTTTTTGCTTGTGTTTGTGTTTTTATGTTTGTTTTATTGTATTTTGTTTATCTTCTAGGCACTAATATCAATTTTCCCTCTGATAAATAAAGTCTTTTCTTATTCTTATCTATGTTTTATGACTTTTAGGTAAGGTCTAAAGGGAAAATAAAACATTTTATTAATATAGTTATAATTGGCACTTGCTTATCCATTTATTCTGAAGGTCTATGTGATCATGTTTGGTCCTTCTTTTTGTCCATGGTTAATGGTTTTTTTTGTTTTTTTTTTTTTTTTTGTCTTTTTGTTTTTTTTTTTTTGTGTTTTTTTTTGTTTTTTTTTTTTTTTTTTTTTGTTGTGTGTTTTGTTTTTTTTTTTTTTTTTGTATGCTTATTTTGTTATTATTTCTTAGTTGTTTTGCAATCTATTCAGCTGTCTGTAGCAATCTGATTGTCAGTTTTCTTCTTTGATTTATGTAATCAGTACTTATTAGTTTTCTAATGATGCTGTTAGTTCTATATGTCATGTGCATCTTATTTTTTTTGTTCTTTGTATTTTTCAGTTGGCTTGCTATGATCTGATAGGCTTTGTGATTGGATGTTCGTGCGCCTACAGTGAAACCCACCAACAGGGTTTATAATGTGGACCAGGGGGGGTCAAAATAAATATGTGCATCCCGGCAGGGCCAGATCAGCATTACAGTTGCAATCATGATAGCTAGCGCAGTCTGAGTGGCGCCAATGGACTGTTTAATCATGCCCACCATTGGCGGCCACTCGTATGACGTATATAAATGAAATAGTGGCCCGTTGCAGCAGCTTTACTCGCACATTTGAGAAATGGCCCTGGCCTCTCATGCAGTAACGAGGGTCCTGGACGGAGGAGGAGCCGAATATCCAACACAGTCTCCAGGCGACGGGAAAATGTATCTATTTATTTGGCGGTTGTTCCCAACACGATTTGCATTTTTTTTCGGTCACACAAACGATTTCTTAAAAGCAATATAAATAATAAACAAATTTGAAGGAAAAAGAGGATTTAAAAAAATACAGATTTCAGTATTCTGACACAGAACGGATTTATAGAAGTTAATGTATTTCTTTTGGTACAGTATGTTTGACCTGCACCAAATTAATAATTCGAATTAGAAGGACATTTCTTTTAAAAAAAAATATACAGATTTTTTCAGTGATTCTGAGGCTCTGGAAGCTCCCATTTTTCTTCCTCGACGGCACGGCCACAACTCCGATATGGTATACCATTTGAACAATAAAAGGGTTGGCTTAGGGTAAGATATTGTAGTAAGAAAATGTGGTTTATGAAGCCACACAGCTTTCTGGTCTTCCAAGACCTTGACTGGAGAAAAATAGGCGTGGGGAGGCCTGAAACATACTTGTTGAGTTATGCTGAGGAGGACCCAAATGCCAGGACAAGTGCAGAGTGTTGAGTAAAAGGTTTGATTTGAGGTGGAGGGAAGCATAGGAGAATATCCGGCTGGAAATGGCGACTGGTGGCGGCTGTGATGACAGACGGTGGCCGAGGTAGTGA